TTGTCTTTTTCCTAATACGAAAACCTGATGAAACCCCGAAAGTCGAAATATTCCCAAGCCCTGAGTTAGTTAACGCGGGAAAGGATGTTGCCCAACGCTCATCCGAATCGCACGGGGTGCCCTCTCCTCAATTCCCCGTAGTTTCCCAATCCGGACGAATTATTGCATGATGTATAATACTCTCATAGGCATTATTCCCCCTCCGGTACACCCCGTACTCTCAACAAAGCGCCCATACGTGCCAATTTTACCACCTGAGTTACAGTCTATCAAGACATCAATTCAGTAGCGAAGCGGCAAAACGCTCTACGCCAGTTTTCAACGAATGTCTCGGAATCTAAGGCAGATAGCAAAATTTTCGTCACGACCTTTTTTGTAGAGCAAATTGAGAACTACAAAAAAGATCTTCATAAAAATTTCGTTATCTCCCTTAGATCAGGAGATATTCCTCGAAAACTCAGCTAAGAAATAAGTCGAATTGTCTCACCGCTTCGCAGCTGAATTTACCGAGCTGAGGCGCCCAACGGGTGGAGTTCATTACCCCAAAAACGAGTCCTCTATTGAGAAATGTCACGTCAGATGCCTTCGTAAGACATCTGTCGATCCCCCGACAGAATTCCCACTGTCGTAAATTATAAATTCCAAAAAACTCCCGAGTGTACGATAAAAATAATCGAGTGAGGCTATCAAATAAATGTTCTTAGATAACCCCTTGCCATAAAATTTTTATAACCCCATAAAGTGTAAAATAGTAGCACGCGTCGAGTGCCTGCATTTGTGCGAGAATTTGTTAATAATTTTTTTATCCCCTTTGAAAGCTGCCACTATCCAGCGGGAATGTGTGCACAGCATTCGATGATTGAGCGACTCTTGAGCGGAGTCCGGGTGCCGAGCGCTTGCTTTCGCGAATTCCAATCACCAGAGACACCGATGACGTACAAATCCACACACACGCTCACAAAAATCTCGGGTAAAAGTAGTATGAGCAAGTCGCAGCTAATTATCTGTCACCAGATCTGTCGAGTTCTTATAATTATCGGCTTTACGAGTTCACGCGTGTTCGGAGAAAATCCTTCTCACGACGGATGATTCACACCTGATGGTCAGAGTATTTCTCAAGGTTCCACACTGTTGAGAAATTACTCTTGAAATTCCAAGTAAAAAAGCTTGAAATTATTGACAACGACAAAGTTACATGAAGTCGATTTTGACTTTCGGCCAGTTTTTGATGAATATTTCGGAATCGAAGAGAGATAGCAAAATTTTCTTCATGACCTTTTTATAGCCCTCAATTGGCTCTACAAAAAAGGTCATGATAAAAATTTTCCTATCTCTTCTAGATTCCGAGATATTCGCCAAAAACTGGCCAATAATTAAAACGGTTCAAGTCGATTGTGACTTTCGGCCAGTTTTTGATGAATATTTCGGAATCGAAGCGAGATAGCAAAATGTTCCTTATGACCTTTCTTATAGCCCTTAATTGGCGCTACAAAAAAGGTCCTAACAAAAATTTTCCTATCTCTTCTAGATTCCGAGATATTCGCCAAAAACTGGCCAATAGTTAAAACGGTTCAAATCGATTGTGACTATCGGCCAGTTTTTAGTGAATACCTCGGAATCTAAGGGAGATAGCTAAATTTTCGTCATGACCTTTTTTGTAGCCCTCAATTTGCTCTAGAAAAAAGGTAATTACGAAAATTTCATTATCTCCTTTAGATTCGGAGATATTCTTCAAAAACTCAATTGAATTCACCCGCACAACATTGAAAATTCAGATGACGCTGTGACTGAAATTTCAAGAAATCCCTAATAGTGTAGTCTCTGAGGCTCGCGAAGTTCTTGATTATAAACTCGTGTATTTAATTATAAACGGATAATTCTGCCCGGAATTCTGCGGGAGGTGTCGGGTTTCTGCCGCTGCATCGAAAATTTTTCCTGAATTCAAGCTGAATGCTGCGAATAATATGATATCACTCGGGCCGTTCCGATCGCAGTTGCACAAAGAAACCGAAGCGAAAGAGCCGGAGGGTTGAAAAGGATACCCAACGACCCAATATACAGACATACGTGTTGCGTAACCGCTGAACGTGAGCCAATAACAGACGACAGAGGCTAAAATGTTGTTCGAAGAAAGACCCGGGGTTCTTTGGGTTGTCAAATGCGCAACGTACGTGACCTTTTCCTCAGTCACGAGGATGATCATTGGTTATCCGAAATGTGCGAGTGCTTAAGAGGGAACCGCTGAGCTGCGTCAGGAGGGCCGGAGGGGGAATTTTTTGAATTACTGGGGCTTTTCAAATCATCAGTCGATGATTCTGTCCCCGATTGCTTGAATTAACCCACAATTTTCCCCGGAACTATCGCCAAATGCACTAGTGATATTGAATTTAGTAGCGAAGCGGCAAAACGGCTCAAGTCCAATAGTTGGAATCGACTTAATTAATTCATCAGATTGATTTATACTAGGCTATTTTATTCTATTTCCATTTCCGTCTTCACAATTAGATTAATTTAATTTTATTCATTCTTATTGTTATTGTATATATTTTTGTTACAACATTGAATGAAGAGGAATTGCTCATAAATCTCGTGAGAATACAGATCGGCAAACGATTTTCGATAATCATACCCAAAATTTTTCATTTCTTTCTTTTTCTTTGAATTAATTAGCACTAATGATCTGAAAATGCGAACGAATATGAACATTTTACATCTCTCTGATCTCATTTCAATGGAACGGAGGAAGGAAATCGCAAAGAGAAATCGATCATCACCAATCAGTATCAATAAAACGAAAAAATCTATTTTTCTGTCTTTTCGAAATTTGTCAAATTGTTTTTTTCTTGTCAAATAATGACGGGCGATTAACATTTTTAATTTCTGCGATCGTATTCCGTTCACAGAAACAGGAAATACGGAAAATGTAGGGAAGGAAAATCAGAAGTAAATTATAAAAATCGATTTTTCAATCTTGAATATTTCAAAACGTTTTTTAAAATAATGAAACAATACCCATAAATTCAATTCCCGTCCTAATATTTTCATAGAATACATAAAAAATAGCAAAGAATTCAAATCACCGATGAAACATTTCACCGGAATAATAATATTATAGTTAAAAATTATAAATAAATTTTAAAAATCGATTTTTCATCTTGAAAATTCCAAAACGTTTTTTTCAATAATGGAACAATATTATCATTACCTAACAATAATATTATAATTAAAACTGAATTTCTAACCATCATGGCTTCCAAAAACACTAAAAATTCCATTCTATTCCCAAATCATCCTCTCGCACTTTTCTCTCCGCACGTAAAAAAAAATAGAATCGAAGATGTTTAGAAATTCCGAGTGACTTTCAATTGCAAGTCAAGATGCAAATAGGCGTCCACGTGCCAAAGTCCTCCAGCACCAATCCGAATCAATCGCGTGAAAGTCTTCCGGTTCACGCGCCTCGGACCGCCCTGGAAACGAGAGGAAAAAACACACAAAAGAGAAAAATAAAACTACCGAGAGTTAAAAAATGCCGGATAGCCGATGCTTATCGATGATTTATGGGAATCGTGCCGGAACAATTATTTCATCGTTCCACCGAGGCTACACAGGTGGCGTACACGACTGTACCACTGTAATTTCCGTTTTCGCGGCGTCGCCGTGGGAATCTGATCGTTCCGTCACTTCCGGGGAAGATCTTGGATATTACTCTAATTAAACAGTAGGAAGTTATTGTGAAATTCCCCGTCAACATGTCTTCCAGAAGCTCCAGGCGCAAGAGTCCCTTGCCCAATCGCTCATTTAAATAATTAACAGCTGTTGAAACCCAACTCGGTGAATTATCCTCAAAAAATTGAATAAAGAGAGCTAAAAGTAATGTTTTAGTGAGTGATGAGGACTGCGAAATCCCTCAAAATTCAAACGTCAGCCCACACCGACTGGAGGAACTCAGGGCTAGGGTATTAATTACCTACATTGGCTTTAATGATACGGTTAGACTGCTACAATATCAACGCCGACGATCAGAGCAGCACGTAGAGCTGGCGCATAACCAGTGCACCAATGCTAAATCTCGTGGGAAAACTTGGCATCTAGGGCTACATAATACACACGTCGGTGGCTTTCCCTGCGTAAGCACTTTCCCGAGGGCCCACTCCGTGCAATTATCGCTGGGGAAGCTCGATGATTAAGAAAAAATTGCGATAATCTGCATCAATGGCATGACAATCGATGATTTCATGAATCTGAAAACCGGAGATCGACACAAATATTATTTACACCGAAAATATATATATATTTTTTACTTAATAGCTGATAACGTGTCAATATTTTTGATTACATAATGTATGAGTACTGAGAAATTCACGGTTTTCAAATACCGTATCAATGAGTAATAATTAACAATAAAAACTATCATTTATCTCATCAGGAATTATACTTGAATATTTTAGAGTAGGGGAGGGTAGGGTAAAATGGACACTTTTGACGTTTCTAAAAATATCCATAACTCAGAAACAGATTTACCAATTGAGCTCAGTCTCAGCTCATCACAAAGAGGAATCATTGTTTTTCAATTGAAAAATAAAATTATTCCATTTCCTAAACAAATCAACATGTTATGAATATTCCAAAAAAAGATCATTAATATTATGAGCTGTTACGCCTTGAAATAATTTATAATTTTAATGATTAAAATGACTAATTCAAAAATTAATTTTGTTAAATTTAACGATTACGCCGACGTCTGCTGGAGACGTCATCAATTTCAATCGACTGAAATCGGAGATTGAGGGCACTTGTTGCATTATATTTTTCGCAATAACAAAACCCACCGAATGATCACTGATTTCACGGCTTCATTCAGTCAAACTCGACGATTTCCCCATCACCGAACCGCAAAAATCCCCGATTTTTAATTCCCAAAGCCTCGAAGAAATCACGGCGATTTCGGAAGTCAGTCCCGCACCGATCGTTCTCTAATGAAGATTCTCTCCCTCTTCCAGGTCTCCTGGCCACAGCAGCCTGTAAAGAAGCATCAGTGCCCCCCTCGTCCACGAAGGAGTCGAAGGATGACGTGGTCCTCCTCGAAATCGACGTGAAAGACCCGTCAAAACGCTCGCCAGTCTCTGCCACCGGTGTCTACGGTGCTTCTCCGAGTCAGTTCATAATTCGTCATGGCGATGATGCTCGAGAGGTACATTCCCCCCTCCCCTCTCCCCCGAAATCCGCCCGAGAACAAAGGAAAATGGAGTAAATGCCACTGCACCACATAAAAGGCTTGCATGCGAATTTTAACGGTCTTACATCTCTCAACCGTGACCACTGGCCGCCTATCGCCGTCGTAACTCCACTCGACAGCCGTGAAGGAATGTTTTTTCCATATTTTTTTTCATCAGTTTCTTTTTAATTTCATGCAAAACTACAAGCGGGGTAGTTGGCCCCGTTCGTTGATCTTTCACCGGCCACTCTATGCACATAACTTGGAACACGTACGTGGCCCAATGCTGTCGCAATGACATCAGTCTGCTTTCAGTATTCAAACTTCGTGTCAACGATTTTTTTTCCGCCAACGGACGCAAATGATTTTTAATTACGCGGGGGTAAGGCGAGGCTGCACGAACGATTTTTGCGAGTCAAGGGGAGAATACCCCCCTCCCCCCCCATGAGAAAGATGTTTTAGATGTGCCTATTACCTATCATCCAAATTTTTAATATTTTTCTAAATGTTTGAATAAATTTTTCGGTGAATCGAACCGCACGAATTTCAGTCCCACGGGTTTTGTTGAGGGGAGACTACTGTGAGTTTTAAAAGTCGTGGGTTATTGGAGTGAGACTTTTCATACGTTGAAGATCGATTATATAGTTCTGAGAACGAATAATTAGTGCAAAAAATTTTTTTTTATTGTTAGTTTGACCGGAAACGCTTAAAATGCCAAAAACAGTCCAGGGCCTCCAATTTTTGAGCTACGAAAGATTTTTTTCTTTCAAAATTTTCAGAAAAATATGTGGAATAACAATTACGAGATAGTTTTTTTTCATTCGATTTTTACATGGCTAAATTTGCTTTTTTTGTATTTTTTTACACAAATAGTAAATTTTTTTATATGAAAAAAAACGAAATCCGCTGTGTAGGAGTCGAATTCCAGAAAACTGGCTCGTAATTGTTGTTCCACACATTTTTCCAGAAATTCTAAAGAAAAAAAATCTTTTGCAGCTCAAAAATCGGAGGCCCTGCACTGTTTTTAGCGTTTTAAGTATTTTCAGGCAAACGAACAATGAAAAAAATTTTGTTCGCACTAATTATTCGTTTTCAGATCTATATAATCGATCTGAAGATGATGTATGAAAAGTCTCCCCTTAAAATGAATTATTGGAACGGACATGTGCCACTTGCGAAATCATCGCAACGAAATTGAGAAAAAAATTCTTCATTAGAGTAATCAACAGTTGGTAGGGAAAAATTCCGGAGAAGTCGCAATGTAGAACTCCTCAGCCACAATTTTTTCCCGCTCAATGTTCATATGACAGTTGGAATGCAGTAATTGTCGTTAACGAATTCTCACAAATCTCGGGAGTTCAATCGGCCAGTTGTTTAAACTCCAACGGTGTTAATGCCACGCAGTCGTCTGATTGCGTAACATTTGTATATTTTTTATCTACCCAGCGGGGCGACTTTGCTCGCCTTCTAATCGCGAATCTCGAACCGGTAATACCACACCCAGCGCTAAACATAGAACAGTGTAAAATCCCCTACGTAAAATACGAGTGACTCTGGGTGGAACTGCACATGTGTGTGTTTCCCCCGAGGCGGTCGATTATAAGTGAGCGCCGTGGAGTTTTCAATTTCGTTAGCGGCCTTGCATTTACTGTTACGGGGGCTGAGTCATTAGAGCGGATCAAAAAGTCCTGGGGAACTGTATCTACTGATAGCAGACATACAAGTAGTTTCGGAACGGATGTGGACAGACACGTTCTGTTACCCGCTCCTCCGTATCGTCGTCCATATGTTCGTCACCAATGCGTGATGTTACCCACGAATTGCACTTGAGAGTCAATAGCACGATGATGAACGATTGCATAAAGTCAAGTTCATGAAGCTAGAAAGTAGAATCCAGAGAAAGTTGATTTCTAATTGCAATAAATCCGGGAATATGTGCGTAGGCTATTCTCCATTTCAATCAAAACACCATGAGTGTCCCCGCAAATTACTGTAATCGATCAACCAGAAAATTCGTATGCTATCTAGTTATTTTCACCCGGAATGATGAGTAATATATCCTGTGAGCGTCTCATTCCGTATGACTTTCCCCAATTGAACGAATTCAATTGCCACTGAAATTTCAAGGAATTTCGACATTGAAAATTCAGAATTTCGTGGAAAAGAAAGAGAGAACTGTAAGTTTCAGGCGCATTTTTCCATGGAAGTGAATAGAAAACCAGAAAATTTCGGGAAATGTATTCTTGAATTTTCAGGACAGTGACACTGAGTGCGATTTAGGGGGAAAAATGATGAAATTTCAGATGTCACTGAAAATTCAATGTAATTTGGCACTGAATATTCATAATAGATTGAAAATTCAAATACATTGAGGAATTCTCGTCGTTGTGCCGCTTAAAACTCTGGAATTTCACTGAATTTTCAGTGACACCTGAAATTTCATGATTTGTTTCCCCTAATTCGCATTCAGTGTCACTGTCCTAAAAATTAGTAGTCAACTGTCCATGAAATTTCATTGATTTCTAAAGCCTGAAGTGCTCACGGAGACAATTATTTGGTGAATTTCACCAACTAATTGTTGAAATTTAATCTAAATAATACTATAACAATAATATATTATTGTAATATTATTAAATGATTGCTGAATTGTTTCCAAACGTATATACACCCTCACCACCTAGTTTGGTAGTCAAAATTGATTGAACGAAATTGAAAAATCTTTTCTGAATTTTAATTGAATTGGTTGTTAAATTTCACAAACTAATTGTTAAAATTCAACAACTAGTTGGTGAATTTCAACAACTAATTCTTGAAATTCACCAAATAATTGTCTCCACGCCCCTAATTCCGCCCAATTCCAGCTGTCCCCGGAGTACCTGGCCCTCGTCGAGCAGTACACGTCCTCCCAGCAGCAGCCGTACCAGTCCCCTCGGGCAGGACCTCCGCCACGCAGGCTACCAGCGTACGCGAGGCAGCAGCAGAACCTGCAACAGGCCTACCAGAATCAGCGAGTGCCAGCTGTCGCCCCTCCCCGCCCTCGTTTGACCCTCCACCCGCAAGCGGAAGCGCAGGCGGACGCCCAAGCGGAGTATCAAGCACAACTGGACGCCCACAACCGCGCCGAGGCGAGCGCCCTCCTCCGCGCAAGCGGAACTTCCCACGCGGAGTACCAAGTGCCGGCCGGCTACAACGAGCCCAAGCTCGGAACCTTCGAGCAAGAGCTCCTCCAATTAGTCTCCGCCAACCAAGCGCAGGAGTTCAAACTCCAACAGGCGCAGCCGAAGAGACTCCCCAAGCCTCAGGGCTACCCCCAGTACTCGCAACAGCTTTTGGCCTATTCTCCGGAGTATGAGCAGGTGAAGCCGACGGCCGAGCCAGCCCAGGAATCGCCGAATCACCAGCAGTATCACATCGAGACCACCCAACCGAGGTACCAAGGCCCCCAGCACGTTCCGGTCGGTTACCGGCCGTTGGAGGAGGCCCAGTACCAGCAGCCGGTGCAGCAAGCCTACATCGAGCCGAGGAAGCCTTACAGACCGGCTCCCCAATACGCCGGCCCTGTATCCCACCAGGTTGACGCGGCGATGCAAGCGCAAGCGCAAGCCCGAGCGGAAGCCGAGGCCCTGGCCTACCAGAAGATCAGTCAGGCATCTCACCAGAGACACCAGCAGGCGGCCTTCGAGCAGATCCGCATCGTCGAGGATCGCTACAAACAGCAGAGCGCGTTGGAGCAAATCAACCAGGGCCAAGTCAGCGAAGCAGGAAGAGAGCACATCGAGGAGCAGCTGCATCCGAAGGACCCCGAGGCCGCCTACAGAGCGAAATTGAAGGCCCAGGCTGCGGCCGAAGCGGCCGAAGCCAGACGAGCCCAGGAGGCCGCTGAGTACAAGGCGCACGGTGACGCGATCATAGCTCTCCAACGACAACAAGCGGCGCATCTCAAAGCCCAGGAGGACGCCCATCTCTACGCCCTGAACTTCGAGAAGAATCAAGCCAAAGCGCAGGAACACGCGCAAGCGCTCGCAAATGCGCAGGCCCTGGCTCTCTGGAAGGCTCATCAGGCTGCCCGCTCAAAGGCTCAGAAGGAAGCGCAGCTGGCGGCTCGCGCTCAAGACGAGGCTCGAAAACGCGACCCTGAGCACACCCCGGTTATCCAGTATTTATTACCCACTCCCAACAGCACTCCTCTCCCCCCGAACAGCTATCTGACGAGCGATCAGGTGCACAAGTACCAGGCGTCAGGCTCTTCCTACGTTCCCCGTTCGGCTGTGAAACCTGAGGATGTCAACCAGCCGCGTCAGGCTCACAAGCACAAGATTCCCAGCAACTCTCAGATCTACGTCTCGCAGTCAGGCCTCCGCAAGAAAGCCCCCGTCAAGTCGCTCACCATCGAGGAGATCATCGAGCAGGATCAGGAGAGGAACTCCCAGATCATCAGGATTCCTGCTGCCAAGGGCCAGCCCCTCACTCAAGCCGATCTCGACGCCTTGATCCACGCTGGGTACACCGTCACACCCGTTCCTGAGGTCACCAGACCGACTCAGCAGCCCAGCTATGCCCTGGAGAACACCACTGGCTACTACGTGAAGAAGCAATCCGCCAGGCCTGATGCATACGCCAACTACGACGATGTTCCTCGACACCAGCGGAGACCTGTCAGACGACAGCGGCCCATCCTCAAGCAGGAGAGCGAGGGCAGCGATAAGGTCACCTATCTCGTGCCCCTTGATGCCGCCTACGGAAACCGAAGACCACAAGAGTAATCCAATCAATGGTGATGATTGAACATTTTGGTCACTCGTGGATGACAATCGGCGCTGATAAAAGGGGAATCGACTTCTGTCGGGTTAATTCATCTGGTGGGAGACGATGGAGATAGGAAAATTGTGGTGAAAACGTCCGACAGGACGATTACCGGCTCCTCAGTGAGGCTCATCCACTCGAGTTTAACGTCATTCTTAATTTTATTTATGCCTAGCTCCAAGTTGATTTTTTTGCGTTATCCTGTACTCGTTACGGCCCAATCGGATTATCTGCATACTACTATCATTTCACAGTCGTTTGTCCATTTTTTTTTACTACTATTCTTGACTCTTGATTTATTATTATGCAATTGATTTCGATGAGCATCAGTGGTGTTTATTGTTCGATTTTTTTTATACGAGCACATTTTGTTTTAGTTTTTTTAATCGTGTAAGCGAGAATTAAATTGAAAGTTTTCATGCGATGATTTGTAAAAATTGAAAGCCATAAATGCCGGCTGTATGGCCATGCGCTCAATGGCGTGTATTCTTTTTTAATTAATTTATACACATGTTGTAAATATTAGAGTTTTAACTAATAAAACTGTTGGAAATGTCAGGAGCAGATGGAATTTTTATTATTTGAGTTCGTCAATTCCCTGAATTCGTGTTACATTAAATGGGAGAATTATAAATTAATCATTGTATGGGTCATGTTCGTTTTTTCTTTTTTCATTTATTTGTTAGCAAGTCAGAGTCAGTAATTAACGAAAAAAATATAATTCCTATTATTTCTGTAATGAACACTGCAAAGAAATTAATTTTCAATCACAATTTTCAATCACAATTTCTCATACATTGAAGATCGATTATGTGTCTAAAAATGGATAATTAGCGCAGAAAAACTAATTGTTTATTGGTCGTTCACCCCGCAAACGCTTAAAATATTAAAAATAGTAATTTTTTAGCTACAGAGGATTTTTTTTTATTTTTGGAAAAGTATGCGCAATAACAATTACGAATTATTTTTTTGAAATTCAGCTTCTGCACATCTAATTTCGTTATTATTTTAATAAAAAATTGCACTATTCATGTAAAATCGCCCGAAAAATATTTCTGAAGGAATCGAGATATGTTTTTAATATTTTAATGATAATTAAGGAAAGCGAAATTAGCCGTATAGCAGTCGAATTTAAAAAAATGATTTGTAATTGTTATTGTACACATTTTTTTTAAAATTTGCGGGCAAACGAACAATGAATAATCAATTTTTTGCACTAATTATTCGTTTTTAGACATATATAATCGATCTTTAATGCATGAGAAATCTCACGTCAATATCCCACGACTTTTAAGACTCGTAGTAGTCTCCCCTCAATAAAAATATTGACAATCACTATTGTTTATTATTTGAAAACTTGAAATACCTCATATTCCATTATTGATTGCTATCGTAATAAGAGATATCCAATTGTAATTATCAGTTGATTAAGAAACACTCTCTTAACATTATTCATTAACCAAATAATTTGTCATTTCCCATTCCTGCTGACCTTGGGAGTGAGCGGATGCGAGTCATTTGGCCACAGATACATTTAATTGAATTTCATTTTCAAATTGGTCTCCATCTCTTTTTCGATTTCTTGAGGATAAGTTAAATCCTTTAATCTCACTTCAATATTCCACGACTTTTAAAACTCGTAGTAGTCTCCCCTCAATAAAAATATTGACAATCACTATTGTTTATTATTTGAAAACTTGAAATACCTCATATTCCATTATTGATTGCTATCGTAATAAGAGATATCCAATTGTAATTATCAGTTGATTAAGAAACACTCTCTTAACATTATTCATTAACCAAATAATTTGTCTTTTCCCATTCCTGCTGACCTTGGGAGTGAGCGGATGCGAGTCATTTGGCCACAGATACATTTAATTGAATTTCATTTTCAAATTGGTCTCTATCTCTTTTTCGATTCCTCGAGGATAAGTTAAATCCGGTTCTGCCGAAGTGCGAGGGAATGAATTGTGGGCATTTCGACATCGTGGAGGGTCGTACAACAGCATAATGGCGATTTTTCAAACGTACAGCTGTAGCAGTCCGAGCATGGCGCTCGAGGAATGGACAATGTGCACAAAACACGGAGAAAATTATGACTAATAAGTGGCTGAATACTCCGGGGTATGTGTGTCCATTCGGCGGCCTTCTCGGCTATTGCCACATTAGTGATTATGATGGTAATGATAAGTAATAACTGTGGCGATGTCGTAACCGAATATTACCAGCGATTTGGATAATAACTTCGATTTATCGTGTTGATTATTGTGACGAGTTTCGATTTTTGGCGAGTCATCCTCGGCTTTTTCCGGGTTAGCTTGAGGTTTTACTCGTGTCAATGAATAATTTTATCGAAGATTGGTTACTTACTACTTCATATAGTTTGTTTTAACATTTATTTTAACAAAAATTACGGAACAATTCACGTAATCCGCAGTGGGGAATCGTTTTCCGGCAATTTTTATAGGAATGCAAGAGAAGAAATCCGAGACGCTCAGTGAATTTTTAGGTTTATCACCGAACAAAGTACGAAATTGTCACGTAATTTTTCCCGAAGAAGTAAAATCTTACAGAAACTTTTACGGAACAAATCGTTGAATTTACGTGGAGATTCGTACAATTTCACTTCCGACTTGGACTTTTTATTGAATTTTACTTCGCTCGCGGATTACCTTTCAAAACTTAATTTTTACATTTTTTTCTGGTCATTTATATTGAATTTTTCTCTCCCTGTGGCCATTTCTCATTACGGTAAAAATCAATAGTGTAATTACGGAACTCACAATTCGCTCACCGATTACGGAATTGACTCAGAAAATGTTAAGTGACGGTACCGTAATTTTTCACAGGAGATTCAGATAAAAATGACGCAACGCCCCGGAAAAATTCCGTGACATTTCCGTAAAATTTCCTACAACCACATTTCACTCCGCGATGACAAAAATAATTAGAATTAATTTTTTTTCATTGACTATAAACATCGTAATTTAAAATGAACAATGAAAATGATGAGTGTATCGATATCTCCGCTTGAATAGCCCCAAAACACCGATGAGTTCACNCATATCGTACAATTTCAGTTCCGACTCACACTTTTTATTGAATTTCACTTCGCTCGCGGATTACCTTTCAAAACTTAATGTTTAACTTTTTTTCTGGTCATTTATATTGAATTTTTCTCTCCCTGTGGCCATTTCTCATTACGGTAAAAATCAATAGTGTAATTACGGAACTCACAATTCGCTCACCGATTACGGAATTGACTCAGAAAATGTTAAGTGACGGTACCGTAATTTTTCACAGGAGATTCAGATAAAAATGACGCAACGCCCCGGAAAAATTCCGTGACATTTCCGTAAAATTTCCTACAACCACATTTCACTCCGCGATGACAAAAATAATTAGAATTAATTTTTTTTCATTGACTATAAACATCGTAATTTAAAATGAACAATGAAAATGATGAGTGTATCGATATCTCCGCTTGAATAGCCCCAAAACACCGATGAGTTCACTGAAATAATCCTGTGCATCACGAATTAATCGCCTCATATCGCTCAACCCACACCGACTCCTGCTGATGATGTCTCAATTAATTCTTTCCTCCCCCGGTACTCTTGTTTGTTTGCAAACTCGACTGGCCCCTCAATGCGCCGGGGAAAGTTTGATGACCCCCTAAATTCACTTTCTACATCTCCCCTCGATTTAATGCTCACCACTGTGCACCGTCAATTGAATTCCGCCTCGATAATTCGTCGTGCATCTCACAGTGTTCTTATTCATACATGAATATTGCCTTTCGTACCCGATGAGATTTAATTGCGAGGATTTTTTATCCAACGCGCACCGCTCGTTCGATGCACTTTGTTATTCTTCAGAGACCACGTCAGACCAATATGTCAGGGACTTAATTCAGCCCTCGTTTGCCAGTGAATAAATATTGTGATAAATCCGTTGCTTGCATGAACTTTCGTTCTGCATGAGAAAAAGATCGAGAGAAATGTCTATTAGCGGAGCATAAATAAATGTACAATAATCATTATTTATCATTCATATCTAAATGTAAAATACATAAAATATTCACAGGCGTAATCGTGGTGGGAAATATTTGCAAGAAAATTTGAATATTGCGTGATTTTCTTTCAGCGATGAATAAAATTTTGACACGTACTTAACAACAAAAAAGTCAAATTTCGTCATTAGCGCCCGAGAACGGCCTGGCTTATTTGTTTTTTCCTTTCAATGTTCGTGCAGTTCATTGCGAAATGTTTTCAGTATCCCGAATCCCTGTGGTCCCTCTCAACTCCCTGATTACAAGATTGATGAGGCCACCACAATCATCGGAATGCACCGAGTACACTCCGGCTACACCTCCCAAACAGTGTTTTACGATCTCGTTCTTCCACAACGCGGGTATATTTTATTTTTATTTCCCCCTGTTCTCACCCCGTTATGGGAGAGTAATAAAGGTAATACCGGGAGGCTTCCCCGAACGAAAACCAAGGACTCAGGGCGGGAGACAATTACAAATCGTGATGAGAAATTTTATGATTTTCTGGATTACGTGACTTTAAAAATCATTACGAGTCGTACGAGATTGAATGGTAATTCCTCCATCTTTTTCAATTGGATAAATTAACTGAAACGAATAAACCAGTATGGTCGAAACTTCCGAAACTTCGTGCACTATACGCCGTTAAAATAATTGAAATTCTCAATTACTCATTTATGATTTATTAAAGAACTTTCTTATTCATTGATCAAATTAGGTTTTATCAGCTCTTTTTAACACATCCTTTGACTTGAGAAATCAAATCGCTTTCAATCTTTAAAAAGAATTACTTATCAATTAATTAATATGTAATTTCGGTGAAAATATTATTGAAATTAATAATAATATGATGCATTGACGTCATTCAACCGAAATTAATAATTTCTGCATCATTAAATTCCCTGAAATTGGAGAAATTTCATAATTTTGCCAATTTTCCCTTCTGGATATTTTCTAAAAACATCGAAAAGCATTTTCGCGAAGAACATAGTCGTCTTCATCAAAATCTGACGATTCTTGTCACGTAATTTGAGTCCGAGGTACTCGTGCGGACAGCACCGAGGAATCCTCACTGTGAAATTCCACTTTCATTGCAATGATATTTTCGATTATGTGACTATTCTTCCTCCGTTCACTCCCGCATGCTTCCAATTTCATTTTCAATACCTGATGCTAATAAAAATTAACGCCTATCGTCGTCAAAATACATAATTGATTTTATTACATTCATTGCATGAAACGATAAATTCAGTAGCGAATTTTTTATGAATATCTCGGAATCTAAGAGTGATAGCAAAATTTTTCTCATGACCTTTTTTGTGCAGCCAATTGAGCGTTATAAAAAAGGTTATGACAAAAATTTGTCTATCTCTTTTAGATTCCGAGATATTCGTCAAAAACCGGTCAATAGTCAAAATCGAAGCGCTTTACCGCTTCGCTACTGAATTAATTAATCAATGAAGAAAAATAACGAAAAATAGCAACAGTAAAATTTTTTAAATAAATTATTTGAGCTGTAATCCTGTCAATTTCCATTCTCCAATCCAGCCTGGGAAGAGAGGAGGTGCGAGTGATTTTTCTCTCGCGATAACCGGAAATGGAAAAGCTGGTAATCTTCATCCGGAGAATGGCATCGGACACGGTTTATTCTGGAGATTCACTGCAACTATCATCGAAATTGATGGCTGACGTTTGCAATCGGATTAAGCCTCGTGTACCAGGACAGCATGTCTCACTCCTTTAACCCAGATTAAAAAACCGCGGGACACAAATTTAGAAGTGGCCCATGCAAATCACGTCCTCAGCCAATTCAATAACGCACGAATCAACAATCCGAGGAACTTTTCCTTTCACTCGAAATTTGGGGGGAGGGAAGGCGTGGTCGGTGAATTAGGTGTGAGGCTGGGAGTTGAGAGATTCACATAACAGACGTCTCAAGGTCAAGGGAATGACTGGAGCCGAAGTGTCTAGATCCTAGACATTTTTAATTGTGAATGGAAATTAATTTTTTTGCATTTTTTTTAAATGTTTCATTTCTGTTCATTTCATTTCGTAAAAATCGCTGGATCAAATTTAATTAACGTGAACTGTAATAATTTTATAATTTTGGAACACTTTTTTTTATTCATTCAAGGGACTACTGCGAGTTTTAAGAGTCGTGGGTTATTGGAGTGAGACTTTTCATACGTTGAAGATCGATTATATAGATCTGAAAACGAATAATTAGTGCAAAAACATTTTTTTTATTGCTCGTTTGCCCGAAAACGCTTAAAATGCCTAAAGCAGTCCAGGGCCTTCAATTTTTGAGCTACGAAGGATTTTTTTTCTTCAAAATTTTCGGAAAAATATGTGGAATAACAATTACGAGCTAGTTTTTTTTTAATTCACCTCTTACATAGCTAAATTTAATTTTTTGTATTTTTTTACACAAATAGTGAATTTTTTTAATATGAAAAAAACCAAAATCAGCTGCGTAGGAGTCAAATTCCAAAAAACTGGCTCGTAATTGTTGTTCCACACATTTTTCCGAAAATTTTGAAAAAAAAAAATCTTTTGTAGCTCAAAAATTGGAGGCCCTGGACTGTTTTTAGCATTTTAAGCTTCTTCGGGCAAACGAACAATAAAAAATTTTTTTTGTGCACTAATTATTCGTTTTTAGATCTATATAATCGCTCCAATAACCCACGACTTTTAAAACTCACAGTAGTCTCCCCTTGAGTTGAAGAAAAGTAAAGAAATGAAAAATATTACGTATGATTATCGAAAATTGTTTGTCGATCTGTATTCTCACGTGATTTATCGAGAACTTCTCTTCATTCAACGTTGTAACTTGTGATTTAAGGGATAAAAATGTATCTAATGACAATAAGATTGAATAAAATTGAATTAATCCAATTGCGAAGACGGGCGAAGCGCCCGTTCGTTACTTCACAAATACATTGTTACCGAGGAATTGTTAACAGACAATTGTTAAATATATGATTTTGTTTCCCTTCGTCTCATTGTGAGTGAGCAAATATTTTCATATCACTTCTGATGTCCACATTGAAATAAGGACATTCTTCCTCGCACTTTCACCACCACCAGTTGATCGAAAATTCCGGTGGGTGTCAATCGTTCGAGTCTAGGTGAATACCCCGAGGACAATGTGACCGCCGGCAATTGCCCAAAACTCATTGTCCAAACACTTCCCAGCCGCTTTCTCATTCAAGTTCGATACGAAAATATCCTTACATAATTGTTCTCGATATAATAAAGAACGAAGGAGCATTAAAAAGATAACGATACCCTCGGTATATTCGCGGAGATATATATTATCGTCTGTCAAATCGCTCAAAGATATTCCAGGTCCACTGCAAAAAAGAACCCTGACCCGAACGATTTATTCCCGATACCTGGTGCACGCCCAAAATGTGTCCTCGATGCCCGGATACCTCACATGAACAATTTCAACATTTATTTTCATTACCGCGGGTGCTAACTGGGGCGTAATGAGCCACTAATGCGAGAAAAAAATTCAATTCATGCAATTTGCTTTTAAATTTGGGAATAAATCGGTCAGGTTTCTGTCAATTAGAACAACGAGAGAAATATTTCGAAAAAATAGGGAATTTGGATGGTAGTTTTGGAGATACTGAGCACAAGAATTTTTCATTTAAATATGTCACGAAATCCTATTCGCAAGGGCTTTTGTCAAATTTCAATTTCCTAACGCATTTTTTTTACATTTTTATGTTGTATTTTATTTTAGCTTAGCTTCTTTGACATTTATACATTTTTTTAAAAATTATTTCATCAGAAAAATGGCGATATCAAGTCAATAGCGAAGCAGTAAACGGGATTTAGCCGATTTTGACTTTTATTCAGTTTGTGATAAATATCTCGAAATGTAAGAAAGATAGAAAAATTTTTGTCATAACCTTTTTTATAGCCCTCAATTGGTTCTATAAAAAAGTTTATGACAAAAAATTTCGTATGTCTTTTAGATTCCGAGATATTCGTCAAAAACTGGCCGATAGCCAACAGACAGAATTGCAGATTTTTTATTTATTTCTTAAAAATCCCAAAAATTCCTAAAAACATGGATTTTCCAAAAACATCATATCCTGACGTTTCATGACATTCAACATCATTTCCCGGATGAATTGAAATATCGGCAAATTCAACGAGAAGAAAAAAGCTTCAGCATTTTAATGACACCGAAACTGTCGCCGTCTGAGAATAAAAAATCTCGTGATTTCGAAAGAGCAACTTAAAAGAGAGCGGTGTATTTATCATCGGTATCGAGGGAGAACAACTGGAGATCAACACCCAAAAACTCCACGAGGATCTGTTGCGACCCAGTTTCAGCAAGTGGCCCTTGTATTCCAGCCTGTGGGTGGGGTTAACGAGAGAGGAGGGAGGAACCCCGCCAAATTCACAGCATATAAGCAACGCTTGCAACGATTCCCAGAATACAGTAATAATATCCGTCGACTGGACAATACCCAAACATACACGTAATTACATCCAATAAACAAGCTTTATTTTGTGAGGGTCATCATCGTAAATTGAGACTTTGCGAGGTTTCAAATCGAGACTTTCACAATTCTCAAATTAAGACTTTTAGAACTCAACTTGATGCAAAATTTTAAGTTAAGGAATTCAAAAGTCAATTGAGATTTTTAGGCTTCAAATTAAAACATTTGCAAATCTGATTTTAAGGACTTTTAAATATCAAAATAAAGTTTAATAATAAATAAGGTAAAAATGCGGAAAAATCCCGGACAAAATCTCCCCGGACAATTGCTTTTTGCGAAATTTACTCGAAAAAATTCCTTTCAACGAGTCTTCTGAGGGGTAAATTTTCCGCAAATAACAATCCGTATGAATTTAATTCTTTTGTAATTTCATTGAGGCTAAAGACTCGATAATTTCATGTGTTCTATTGTGCGATTCAGAATTAAAAACCCCTTTAATTGGCCGGATCCGGTATCCTAATCGCAAATTCCTTTTTCAGGGAGATTTTATCCGGGGGAAATTCTTTTTCGGGGAGATTTTGTCCGGGGAAAAACTGTCCTAGAATCGCTGTCTCCATACGGAGAGAAAAATTGACTAAAATAGCAGAAAAAAAAACGTGAAACGTGAAATTCACTAAAAAGTGTGAGTAGGAACTGAAATTGTACGAATCACCACGTAAATGCTACGATTTGTTCCGCAAAAATTAACCACCGTCTGATGCCTCACCGCTGTGGGGACAACAAGTCGTTCCGTAATTTGTCGTCTCCATGTGTTCTTCCTTCCAGAATGAAGAGTCTAGTGATGCTGGCAGCGTTGCTGCAGGTCTCCACCTCCAGCTACGTCTCCGTGAAGATGCCCTACGCTAGTCCAGCGGGGGTGACCTACATCAACGGATACCAGGGCCACGAGTACCCGGTGGGGTACGCAGCTCAGACTTATGCAGCCCCGGCAGCCCTCCAGTATCAATATCCGGCGTATCGGTACCCAGCAGCTGTTGCGGGGAAGGTTGAAGCTCATCATGTGGGTTACGCGGCTGCTCAAGTGCCCGCTGTCGCTGCTGTCCCCTACGTCAAGCACGTCCCGACAGTCTCCCACGTGCCTGTGACACGGTACGAGGCGCATCCCGCTGTTATCGAGAAGCAATTGGATGTCGTAAAGCCCGCTGTCTCCACACGCAAGTTTGAAGTGAGTTGAAGTCAAGTGATAATAACAATTGGATATCTCATCATTAATTACGTTGAGTAAATAGTGAAAATTAAAGTATTTTCAGGAAAAAAACTTTCCTTAAGTCAATGGAATTTCAAGTTTCTCTGAAAATTCACGTCCCATTTTTTCGCGGCAGGAAATTCTCTTGAATTTTCAAGGAGTTCCTTTAAAATTCTTGGAACTCTAGAAATTTTTGTAGAAATTCCCTGAAAATTCGGAGGAATCTGGAACTCAAGGAAAGATTTCTCTGAATTTTCCTAATTTTCCTGGATTTTTTATTAATTAAAAAAAAATATTTTCATTTAATTTCATTTTTTTTACTTGTGCGGCATATTTCTCACAAATATATCAATTATAGCATTATTTTCTTCGTAATATTATATGTTGGCAACATCCGGATTTTCCGTTTCTAAATTTTTTTCGCGTTGTGTGAGGCACTTTGTGCCTTCATTAATGCTTTGTACTACTCTGTACTGCTTTGTAGACTTCGATGGGCGTTTGCCAGAAGCCTTACATAAATAAATAATTTAAATATTCCCCCCGAATAATTAACCTGACATTTACACTTCCCACGGATTTTTCCATGAAATTGTGAATTTTACGTTTAAATTCCTTGCGATTTCCGTGAAAATTTTCAACAGCTTTAATGTGACATTACAAAATGAATCTCGTTCCGTCATTGCTGGCAAAAAATTGGAATTCAATATTTGTTATTAATCATTAATATTTTTTTTTATTGAATCATTAATATTACAATGAAAAATGAACGTCAGGTTCGTAGACCAGCGATTCAGAAGCAATTCTACGACATCGAAGAGCGTGTGATCGTCCGCCCCGCTGGATCCGCAGTAGTAGAGCTTGATGAGCCGACATCGAAACTCCAGCGCGGACCCGCAGTGGTTCAGCCCCTCGACGTCAGCCACTACTCGGCAGTCTCTCCCGTCACCCACAATCTCGTGGCACAAGCGGCGTCTTTCGCCCACGCCCCATCGTCGCCCACGACCATTCCCTTCGTCGCTCATGCTCCAGTGCACGTGACTGTGGCCCCGGTTATTTCCCATGCACCGGTGTCTCATTATCAGCCGTCCTCCACCGCCGCGCCGGCCTCAGCCGACGGCTCCCAAGGAGAATCGCAGTCGGAGGATGATCAGTCGGTTACTGTGGAGAACGCTGACTTCAGGGGTGCCCAGTTCAGGCAGGGGCTGTTCAGGGCCGCGGGGGAGGGCGAGAAGGCCGCGACCAGGGGGCAGGAGAGGATGCAACAGGAGTATTTTCAGAGCCTTACGAAGTCTCAGGTCAGTCGAGCTCAGCTGAATGATTCTACTGGTACATTGGGGTGGCTTAGCAACCCATTCTCTTTGCTACACTGAGAGAAGAACAAACACGTCGTCAAGCAAATCTTGTTTGGGCCGACAAAGTCGCTAGTTGAAAATTGCCAAAAAAGAATTCTGTAGTGAAGTGGTGAAACGGGTAAGTTAACTTACCTTTTCGTCGAGTTTTTCGGAAGTATCTCTGAAATTAAGGGAGATAGCGAAATTTTTGTTAAAAGCTTTTTTGTAGAGCTAATTGAGAGCTACGAAAAAGGTCATTACAAAAATTATGCTATCTCCCTTAGTTTCGGAGATATTTCCGAAAAACGCACCGAAGAGTAGTTGACTTACCTCGTTTTACCATTTCAAAGAATTTCAAAGAATTTGTTTGGTTCGAATTTGAAAGTCTCAAACATGAATAATTGTTCTGCTTTCCACAGCAACGAAATATTTGGCGCAAGAGGCGGATAATTCACACCAGACGGTGCCTTTTCAGGATGAAAATATCTCATACAGAGGAAAATTTATCAATTTTTTTTGAACTACTAAATCTATTTCTGCGACAAAAATTTTTCACTCCGGCGCACTCTCTGCATGTTTGGCACAAAAAAAATCTTTTTTTGATAATTGTCAAAAAGTTATTTTCTTGGCACAACTAAGACTTTACGATATTCTCTTATTCTCTTCTCGATATTAACAGAACCCGTGGGATTGAAATTCTTGTGGTTCGATTCAACGAAAAATTTATTCAAACATTCATAAAAATGCCCAAAATTTGGGTGATAGGTAATGGGTGCATATAATACATCTTTATGATATTCTCACCGAACAGATTTATTCCCGTAGAATTGAAATTTGTGCAGTTCAATGCAAGGAAAAATTTATTCGAACATCGAGAGAAGCGTAAAAAACACTGGGTATTGGGTCAACCCAGTGGATCCGTGTTAAGTCATGCGTGCATTTTCCTTCCAGGTGAATTCTATCGCCAGTCAATCCCAGACCTCCGACATTCAAGTGAAATCCAACGGCGAGCAGTCCGCCCCCCCGCGCTTCCTCGCCCACGATCCCACCCCCAGTCCCTCCGTCATCCCCAGTCTGCGTGGATCCCCTGAAGAGAACAGGAGCAATCAGCAGAAGCTCATTGACCTCCTCACGGCCCGTGGCGGAGTAGCTGATGTGAGCATAAAAACCTCATAAATAATAATCTACCGTTTTGCAAACAAGTTTTATTATTTGTTTATAAGAGGGAAATGTTTGAAAAAATGTCAATATTTTGCGAAATTTAAGTTGGCTAATGCTGACTGGGTATGAATTTTTTCAAAGTTTTTCCATGCAATTTAGTTGAAAAATTAAAAAACTGAAAACATTCAAAAGTACAGCGGAGCCCGGCAGAAGGGTAGAGCTACTTTAAATAGAAAATGTCTCATAGAAATTATTACCTAATGGATTTTCTGAATTTATTAAAACTCTGTTTTCCGTTTCTTTTCCTCAAAAAAATTAAATTCCACAGAAAACGGGAGACGATAAAACTAACACACGGAGAGAAATTTTCTAGAAAAATTCTAGTACGAGTACTGGAAAAAATTACAATTCACCGGCTGTGAAAAATTCTAGTGCTGTTAAGGTAAAATTTCTTGGTATTTCTGGTAAAATTTCAGGGGATTTCTGTGAAATTTTCACAGAAATACGGGGAAAAATTCACGTTCTCTCCAATAAAATTTCTAGTGCCGGCACTACACGGAGAGAAATATTCAAGAAAAATTACGGAACATTTCACGTAATCCGCAAGCGAGAATCGTTTTCAGTGGATTTCTATAGGAATATGAGAGAATAAATCTGAAACGTTCAGTAAATTTTCGGGTCTGTCACCGAAAAAATACGAAAAAGTCACGTAATTTTTCTGGAAGTTGTAAAATCTAACAGAAACTTCAAGACTTATGCCTCAGAACATGAAAATTCTTGGATGTTTAAGAATTTTTACGAAAAGTTCCGGAAAAATTACGGAACGTGTTGTTAAAATCTCCCCCTCACGGTGACTCATGGCTAGCCGTGAGGCGTCGGACGGATGAGTAATTTTTACGGAACAGATCGTAGAATTTACGTGACGATTGACACTTTTTATTGAATTTTACTTCGCTCCCAGATTACGTTTCGAAACGTAATTTTTACGTCTTTTTTCTGGTAATTTTTATTGAACATTTCTCTCCATGTAGAATTTTTTCCTGGCCGTCACTTTGCGCCTCTTTTCCCGTGCTAGCACTAGAATTTTTCCAAAAAATTTCTCCCCGCGCAGGAATCCAATGGAATTTCCTAGCGAATTCGATCCCTCAGAAACGAAACCCCTAATGTCTCTTTCAGGTCGGCTTCTCCCGTGATGGATTGTCATCATCGGTTGGCGATGCAGGTCACGTTCGTGCTCGCGTCATATCGGCAACCCCCGCCCCAGAGTACGCCGAGCCAACGGGTGAGCGTGTCTCAACTCGGCGGGTCGTCGTGAGCAGACCCATCGAGACACTCCAGGAAGTTGATGTCCTCGAGCCAGCGACGAAATACGAGAGGATATCCGTTCAGCATCCAACTTTAATCAAAACCGCTCGACTCGATCACATTCAAGTGCACGGATCGGTTCCCGTTGTTGGAAAAGCGCTCACCCCTGCCGTCGCTCATGCCGCTGTGCCCGTTTATCAGAAGACATTCTCACCTGCTTATGCATATTGAGACCTCAAACCCCTGCGGTTAATCACGAGTGATTTTTGTAAAAAAATAATAATCATCGATACTTGATTTCTATTGGATCTTACAATTATTGCACCCACTCCCATTAATATTATGTATGGTTCCTGGATTTTTCCCCCGAAGAAAATTCCCCGAGGAAATTCCCCCGGAAACAAATTCCCGGAAATATTTCCCCGACGTCAATTTTATTTATTACATCCTTCGAGAATCCAACTTTTTCAATAGATCAATAATAAATAAATCACGTTACTGCAGTAAATTAATTGTCGACATTTTCGAGCCAATTCCCCCGAATAATTCTAATTAATCTCTTGCCCCTATAATCAATGAATCTTCATTAACAAGCATTCTCGTTCTACAATGTCGCACCTTCATAAAAAAAACATTGACAACATTCAACGAAACATCATCTTACACTGCCAAAACAATCCAATTTGTTAATGTCTGAACAATGTAATATGATGTGTAACTTGGAGGAGTAACTAGAATACTTACCAACATTAACAATAAAGTTAAAAATTATAATGTGTTTGTTTTTCATTTTTGCGGGAGTTTTTTTTTTGTGATTTTCAGGGGAAAATCTTTCGGGAAAATAATTCCGGGAAATTTTTTCGGGAGAAAAAAAAATGGTCATCTTATTTATTATTATTATTATTATTATTATTATTATTATTATTATTATTATTATTATTATTATTATTATTATGAAAATTTGAATTCTTCTGAATTTTTATTGAAATTTTGATGATGTGAAATATTTCAAAGGAGTTTTATATTTTTTCTTTCAGCCCCATATTTTTTTTATTCCTCGCATGAATTCACTCATTATTTTTTATGTTAGTAAAGAATGAATACAAATCGTTATGTCCGACAATTTTTTTCCAGGCGAATAATCTTGCACTAGATATTCAGATCGTAGACCATTCATGTTGACGATGAATCGTTGGTAGAAAGTATCAGAACTTGTTCTAGATGACGATCGAAAATTAAGAGCAAGGTCGTCCGAAGACTCTGCAGATCCGCCTCTCACCGAAAGGTGATAGTCCACTGGATAGACTATTGCTGCAAGGAATTTTCATGATTTCACGTTTTTTACATTGAAGAGTTTTTCGAAATGCTCGTGAAAATAAAATTGCGAGTCGTGTAGGTGGTTATGGCCTGTAAAGTTTCACATGTCTGTCGGGTCTTTGCTTTCGATTTCTTTATGAGTGTTGCAGCGCGTGCTGCACTCTCGATGAAGTCGTGAGAAGTTGGTTAGTGGTGAGGAAAGATCAAATCGCAGGTAAAGAAAATTGAGACAAAGAAAGAGTACTATTTGTGGAGCGGAGGGACGTATTATTTGAGGGGCGACTACTATGAGTTTTGAAAGTCGTGGGTTATTGGAGCGATTATATAGATCTAAAAACGAATAATTAGTGCAAAAAAATTAATTATTTATTATTTCTTTACCCCGCAAACGCTTAAAATATTGAAAATAGTCCAGGGTCTCTAATTTTTGAGGTACAGAGGTGTTTTTTTTCAAAATTTAAGGAAAAATATGGGCAATAACAATTACAAATTATTTTTTTGAAATTCAACTCCTACACAGCTAATTTCATTACTATTTTAACGAAAAATTGCACCATTCATGTAAATTAGCCCGAAAAATATTTCTGAAAGAATCGAGAATATATTTTTAATATTTTAACAATAATTTTTCTGCCTATTTTACATGAAGGGCGCAGATTTTTATACTGAACAAAACGAAATTGGTAGTGTAGGAGTCGAATTTCAAAGAACTAATTCGTAATTATTATCGTACAATTTTTTTTTTAAATTGAATAAAAAGAAACCTCTCTAGTTCAAAAATTGCAGGCCCTGGACTGTTTTAATATTTTAAGCGTCTGCGGGCCAGGCGAACAATAAACAATCAATATTTTTGCACTAACTATTCATTTTTAGACACATATAATCGATCTTCAATGCACGAGAAATTTCACTGCAATATCCCATGACTGAAAACTCGTAGTAGTCTTCCCTTGGCTTCTCAATAATTTTCAAAAAAATCTTTCCTTGGCACAAGTAAGACTTGTTTGAGAACTGTGTCGTTCTTCTCTCAGCGCAGTGTTCAAAAAAATCTTCTGAACGCTTCTCATAAATACAAAGTTAACGACCCTACAATTCCCCGATCAAACTCCGGAAACAGTGGAATCGATTTTGACAAGGATATCCACTTTATGCCTCCTGAGGCCACCGCAACATTGACCCGAATACCAGAATTACCCCGCTCACTCATCCCTGCTAAATTCGCGTCGCTGCTTCGCGATGAAAGGAGGAAGTAAACTTCAAATCCCGGCATATCACACATGACGTAACAATTTACAGCCAACTCAATTTCCTCCAGCTGGGTCCCTCCACTTCCCCGTCATAAAGTCAGATTAAATTTTCACTTCTCGAGGCATAATTCACCGGCTGAAGACAAGAATATGAACAATTTTTTCGCTGATCGAGGCGAAATTTCACCATTTGAACACCAGAAATAATTACACGGTTTTCGTTACTCATTGACCGATTGAGATTGCACACTGCAGAGATTAGAATCATTGGAGCATAACGCCATGCGAATCACGAGGATGAAGCAGCTCGTGACTCCAAGGGACTTTTACCTTTCATGAGGCGCGACCTTGGATAATGATTGTGATGATGTTTCCCTTCCGACGATTTTCAGAGCCTCAGAATTCACGTCTGAAGGTGATTCACACTTTTTATTGAATTTTATTCCCTCGCGGATTGCGTTTCGAAACCTAATTTTCACGTTTATCTCTCGGAATTTTCCTCATCCAAATGTCAGCCAATAGAATTGCACTATTCGACTGTTATTTCATGTAGTCAACACGGTATTCAGCTGATAATTTTTGATAATTCAACTGCACGGAGAGAAATTTTCTATAAAAATTCTAGTACGAGTACTGGAAAAAATGACAATTCACCGGCTGTGAAAAATTCTAGTGCTGTTAAGGTAAAATTTCTTGGTATTTCTGGTAAAATCTCGGGGGATTTCTGTGAAATTTTCACAGAAATACGGGAAAAATTCACGTTTTCCCCAATAAAATTTCTAGTGCCGGCACTAGAATTTTTCTAAAAAATTTCTCTCCGTGTAGATTTCCCCGCATCGCAACTGAAATTGGGAGTGAAACAAATTGAACTAAAAAAACAGTCCCATCATTTCGTCCGCCCGACTCGAGCCTCGACCTCGCGAATCCCCTCGTGAGGATGCTCCGAAGGTCGAGTCCCTCCGTCTCCGTTGAACTTGAAAGAAACCGCCGAGTCCGTCCGCAAGTCCTACGGTTACACCGAAGTGGCTAGTAACCTCCGCAATGAAGGTGGACCTTCGGACAACCCGACTATATAAGAAAGAACGTTTGGGGGCGATATGCATTCAGTTAGACGCAGACAGGAATTCTCGCTAGATTATCATTACCTGTGGTGGAGAGGTAAGGCGACTGACGTGATATTTCACGGCGCTCCCAACGCCTTTCATACTGATACCAGCGGTGACGGGTGTAATACGTTGGAGCGGTTAAAATCAGTGGAAACTGTGTTAAATTATTGAATTACGGCATTGTTGGACATTTTTTCGGAATTAATGAGCGGTTATTCGCCTCGTTCGAGGAAAATACAAGTGATCTTTGAGCTTGTGGATGTTTATTATTTAAATGAGGGGGCTTAATTGATTCGTGAGACCATCGGGGGAGTACGAAGAGTCCTGTGGAGGTTTGGGAATGAGGATGAGCTTGTGGGGAAGGGCTATCCTTCAGCCGAGACCTTGCTACTGAGATTGATCAGATCGCCTAGAGCGGTTCTCCATTTATGGCGCATTGAGGACAGGGAGAAGATACAAATAGAATGTGTTATCCTAATAAACCTCAGGGTAAAATTCAGTAGCGAAGAATTCCAAAAAAATCCCGGGTTTTTAAAGAATATAAATCCCGGGCAATGTTGAGTGCATGGAACAGTAATTTGTCAAGTAATTTTTCCCTCCCCCGTCAGATATTCAATCCCCCATTCTATTTCCAGCCATGAGCATCATAATCATCCTGACGATTATGGGAGTTTGCACAGGAGCGCCCCAATTCCTGGAGGAGCATTACAATCCCACACCCTACGCCCACCAAGCAGTCCTCCTAAGCTCAGCGATGGAAGCTGCACTGCCCCGAGACCTCAAAAATCATTTCTACGAGAATCCCAAGACCGCAGCGGCACTCGCGCAAGAGTCCTGGCTGGCCAACAAAGAGATGCAGGTAGCGCAATAACGGCATTACCCATCAGAAATTACGTGTAATTACCCGGGATGATTAATGACGGCGGTATTTCTAGGTGATCGATCGCGAGGCAGACAAGATCCCGAGGCAAAAGATATTCGACGCACTGCAACACGCTGGACTCACCCGCTAAAGACACCCGAGTCATCAATCATTTTCCTGTCGATGCATTTTATTTATTACCATTGAAACTATTGTAAAGTCTTATTCATTGTCTATTACTGTTTACGACCGTCGAGTGCGACCCGATATCTCATTATTCATTTAAAAAATACATCTTCACTACAAAAAACAGGTGTCTGACAGCTATTCAGATATTTTCTGTCTGAATTTCAGTTATTTATGAGCGATTCAAACATTTCACTATTAAGGGGAGACTACTATGAGTTTTAAAAGTCTTGGCTTATTGGAGCGAGATTTTCATACGTTGAAGATCGATTATGTAGATCTGAAAACGAATAATTAGTGCAAAAAAAATTGTTTTATTGTTCGTTTGCCCGAAAACGCTTAAAATATCTAAAACAGTCCTGGGCCTCCAATTTTTGAGCTACGAAGAATTTTTTTTTTTCAAAATTGTCGGAAAAATATGTGGAATAACAATTACGAGCTATTTTTTTTTAATTCGGCCCTTACATGGCTAAATTTCTTTTTTTTTACACAAATAGTGAATTTTTTTATATGAAAAAAACCGATATCAGCTGTGTAGGAGTCGAATTTAAAAAAACTGGCTCGCAATTGTTGTTCCTCACAATTTTCCGAAAATTTTGAAAAAAAAAATCTTTTGTAGCTCAAAAATTGGAGGGCCTCGACTGTTTTTAGCATTTTAAGCGTTTTCGGGCAAAGGAACAATAAAAAAAAATTTTTTTTGCACTAATTATTCATTTTCAGATCTATATAATCGATCTTCAACGTATGAAGATTCTCACTCCAATAACCCACGACTTTTAAAACTCATAGTAGACTCCCCTTAAGATATCTCACCTGATTCAGACGGCAAAGTCCATTCAAACATTAATTTTTAAGATATTTCTCATGTCCGAAAAGTTGACTCATCCACTGTAAAAACTAGGTGTCTGAAAACTATCTGAATTTAAGATGGCAGATGGCAAAAAACGTCTGAATCTTCAAAAGTGTCTGAAAATAAAATTGATGTCTGAACATTTGAAACACCGCTTGCGTCTGAAACTGATGTCTGTATCTTAATTTCAGACATCTTGGTGTCTGAAATTGAAATAACTCCATCGACTCAGACGCATTTTAATTAATGTCTCAAAACTGTCTACAAAATCGTCCCAAAAGTGTTTGGAAAGTGTCCACAAAAGTGTCTGAAATTCAGACATTAGTTTTCGCAGTGTTCGTAGAGAATGGCCCTCGTTGTTGAGTGGTTGGTCTTATCTCCACCGAGAACTTAAATTTTCCAATCGTTCTGCTGCGTCATATCACTTTATATAACTCCACTATGTTTATCAAACACTTTCCAAAGCCAATGACCTGGTGCAATGTGCAGAGGACGTATCACGAGTTTCAAATTACTTCAGTCTACAACAGGGAACTGAAAGTTAGAATAACGAGTCACACTCGATTTGACTGTCACCGATAAAAGGGTCACTGGGGGGTTTAATGTGACTCGGGGAAATTATTCCAGAGATTTTTTCCACTCGCTTTACTTTTGAGAGGGAAAATGGAACGCTGGCATGGGAGAATAACTGTTGTACGGGGGCATCAGCTGGAATTGGATTTGTCATTGCAAAATCATTGATCGAAAAGGGGATGGTCGCCTATTTTTTTACGTCAACGCGATCAACAATTTACCAAAAAAATTCAAAAAACGTGAATTTTGGCGAAAAGGGTATAATGCATCCTTAAGGATTATTAGAGTGAGACTTTTCATACGTTGAAGATCGATTATATAGATCTGAAAACGAATAATTAGCGCAAAAAAAAATTTTTTTTATTGTTTGTTTGCCCGAAAGCGCTTAAAATACTAAAAACAGTCCAGGGCCCCCAAATTTTTGAGCTACAAAAGATTTTTTTTTCAAAATTTTCGGACAAATGTGTGGAACAACAATTATGAGCCAGTTTTTTGGAATTCGACTCCCACACGGCTGATTTTGGTTTTTTTCATATAAAAAAATTCACTATTTGTGTAAAAAAATACAAAAAAAACAAATTTAGCCATGTAAGAGGCGAATTAAAAAAAAATAGCTCGTAATTGTTATTCCACATATTTTTCCGAAAATTTTGAAAAAAAAATCCTTCGTAGCTTCGATGCTTCGTCCTTTATTAGTAGATAGAAGCTGTTGAAAATTGAATAAATTCACTCGATCGATCAGAAGCTTTCATTCACGATCTCTGATTTATCGACAAGTAATAATAAATTTGTCTGCGTTATCGTCTCAGCAGATAAACAAATTATCTTCTTTCATGAGTGGAGAAAATAATAATAATAATAATAATAATAATAATAATAATAATAATAATAATAATAATAATAATAATAATAATAATAATAATAATAATAATAATAATAAAATAATAGACAATAAAAAAAAGTGAAATAAATTTATCAGGAACAACAATTGTCAGGAAAAATATGAATAATCGACAGATCATTTTACCGTCTTCATAAATAAATTAGTCCTAACGAGCATCAGAGATTGTTTTCGATTTATTTCTTGCTGAAGATTCTTAACTGGCAAGTCCTACGATTTATCTAAAAAGCTCTTCGACTGCGCTATTAAAAATTTTCCACTGAAATTGTAGAGAATTTTGTAAATAAAGATTCATAATTTGATGGAATGGGTGGGAATTGTAAATTTCAGTTTACTTATTCCGGGAAAATAAATAAAAAATCAGGGAAATTCTGAGCATTATCTCCTTGAGTCCTAGATTCCTCTGAATTTTCAGGGAATTCCGTCCAAAATTTCCGGGATTTTAAGAATTTTAACGGAATTCTTTGAAAAGTGATGTAAATTGCGGAATTTCCGTCTTCCCGGCGCTAAAAATTAGGATCTTTACTAGAATTTTCAGAGAAACTTAAAATTCCGTTGACTTGTTCTCCTTAAATCGAATACAAGATCTTTTTCCGGAGAATTCAGCCAAATTTTTTTAACACTGTGTTCATTCCAAGTTTAACTATATTCAACAAATTTAAAATATCACAGAATTTATTATCTAAATTTTTTGCGATTGATGGTGAATAAAGTATTTGATAATACTGAAATGTAATTCTTTAGTTACCAATCTAATTCCAAATTTAGCTACCTGATTTTCGATTCTCCAAATAATCGTCAATCCTCCTCCCGAAATTATTGATTGACGGAATATTTCGAAATTTAAATGTCCAAATTGATGGTTCCTTCAATATTAAAAATTTAAAAATTTATCTTAAAAATTGACAACTATCACAATTCAACGGTAATAACGATTAATTGATATTCCTATCACTGAAATCCACCCAAGCCCTCAGCACGCTACAATTTCGAAATGGCCGTATCTCCCTCCAATCCCCGAAAAAAGAAAAATCATCTGATTTATCGTAACCACGACTGCATCCCAATCGGTGTCAGCGATCGTTTCCAATGCTCCTCAGGATGCATGAGGAGCTTGTACCCGTGGGGATGCACCATATAAAGCGAATGGCAGGGCCGAATCCCTGCAGAATCAGCCCGCAAGAGCGATAGAGGAGACGCCGCCTGGGACAAATAAGTAAACTAAACCGTGAAATTGCATAAATCCTACATCTCCGAATTAATTCGCGAGATGTCCGGCACATCTGAAGTGACACTTGTCCTCGTGGTGTCTCTGATGCTGACCTGCGTGTCCTCAGATTCGGTGAGTCAGTTCATTCCCACCCGAATTCCCCCCGCATTCCCCTACGCAACGGCAACGAGCGCTCCTGTCTCGATTCGCGAATCGCCGAGCATTCTCTCGGATGAACTTTCACGTTAATGTCCCCAAGATGAGACACGGGCCCCTCGTTACCTCCAATTGACATAATAGCCCAAAGTGATCCAATTGAATTTTCGTTACCACTCAATTATTTCTCTAATAATCCGATCAAATAGTCCTGATTGCAACTGAGGACACGATGCACACTAATTATCCAATAACGGCTCTATCGATTCACTGGGTGGAGGCGGTCCGATTAGACTGTTTCTGCATGAAGGCGACTGCTTTCCGGGTACATCGGGAGATAGTAGCATTGTGAATGTTGCACAAGATGCTGCACGAGTATTATTTCAGAATGAGCGACGAGCGGGATGTGTAGTGGCGCAATTTACCGGGGGGCGGGGGAGGGGGGGGGGAATGTGGAACATACGTGAGAGATTCGCTTTCTACCGTACGTGATACACTAGTTTGCTAGCTGCGGGATTGATAGATCGATTCATAATTTCTGGAGGATTTTGGTCAGTTTTATTTTCGTAAAAATCTTGTTTATTATATTCACGGTTAATGGACGGAATAACACTGATTGCTTTTGTAATCACTAATAGTGGGAAATTAATTTTTCATCAATTTCTAATCATCTCTATTTTGTGGAATGGTAATAGCTTCAATTTTCAGTGTTTACTCATCATAATTGGTCGCAATTAATTGTATATAAATATTTGATATTTCGGTTTGATTGGTGTTCTAATGAGGGATATTCAACTGTCATTATCGGTCAACCAATAAATTGGAAATGTTAATTACTCAGGTGCGATATAATAACAATTATATTCTCATTGTTTTTCAATAATTAAATGAAAGGTCATTTGCGGGGAGAGATTATGAAAAATATTTTTGAGTGTCGCATTCCATCTCTAGATAAAAATGAAGTATAGAACGTTATGTAGTGCAACAACCCTCCTCTCATCTCAATTACCTTATGCTAATGACAGGTGCAGCATCACCCCCCGGACCAACCCTTCCCCGAGGATCGTCAGTCGCCACCGGAGCCCTACGATCGTCCCATCGACTTACACGACCAATTACAAAGTTTGACGTACATCAGGCCAGAACAAAGCGCTGATGACGACCCCCCGCACAATAGCTGGAGTGCCCTAGTCCCCGGAACACCGGGCACCGACTACCCAAGCCTTAATAAAATCCCGGAGACTTCATTCTCCTGCGCTGATAAAATACCAGGAGGCTATTACGCCGACGACGAGACTGGTTGCCAGGTATTTCTTCTCGTCTCCCCCAAAAACGTCGCCTGAAGTACGCGGGGAAAACATTTTTGAGGTTCCGGGAATATTCACTGAGATTTCGGAGAGTGTCACTAATACTATTATTCAGTGATGCCGCGAGACGAGACGAGACGTGACGAGACGAGAGACATGACGAGACGAGAGACATGACGAGACAAGACGAGACGAGACGAGACGAGAGACATGACGAGACGAGACGAAACGAGAGACATGACGAGACGAGACGAGAGACATGACGAGACAAGACAAGACGAGACGAGAGACATGACAAGACGAGATGAGACCAAACGAGAGACATGACGAGACGAGATGAGACGAAATGAGAGACATGACGAGACGAGACGATACGAGACGAGACGAAACGAGAGACATGACGAGACGAGACGAGAAACATTGCGAGACAAGACAAGACGAAACGAGAGACATGACGAGACGAGATGAGACGAAATGAGAGACATGACGAGACGAGACGAGACGAAACGAGAGACATGACGAGACGAGATGAGACGAAATGAGAGACATGACGAGACGAGACGAGACGAAACGAGAGACATGAAACTGCATCTTCTCGTCTCGTTTCGTTGTCAGGAAACCATTCTCTCGTCTCGTTTCGAAATACGAGAGTAATCTCTTCTCTCGTCTCGTCGAAAATTGAGAGATTCTCTCGTCTCGTCTCGTCTCATTTCTGCCATTGTCTCGAAAGACTCTTCTCGTCTTGTCTCGTCACGTCTCTCGTCTCGTCTTGTTTCTGCCATTGTCTCGAGCGACTCTACTCGTCTCGTCTCGTCATGTCTCTCGTCTCGTTTGTCTCGTCCCGGCATCACTACAGCTACGAATATTACTTGAATTATTGGTGACAGACGCCTGAAAATTAGTGACGCGTTCCTGAAAATGTCCTCATTTTCAATGATTTCGCCTTGTTATTTCATAAATAGCAAAAAATTCCACCGGAATTCCAAGCAATAAATCCACAACTCTCCCACAACCTCCCCCGAAAAACTAAAATATTGAAATTACTCCAGGTCTTCCACATATGCAATATCGGTGGCTCCAAGAGTTCATTTTTATGCCCCGAGGGTAGTATTTTCAATCAACGTCACTTCGTGTGCGACTGGTGGTACAGCTTCCAGTGCGACGAGGCTGTATCTCTCTACCCCGAGAACAATCCCGAGACCAATGAGGCTGATGATCCAGAATCCATGGATTCACCGGACTCCAAATCGACCGATAATTACGAACCGATCGGATTTCGTAATGATTCACCCAAGGACTTGGCGTTGGCGAGCAGCGGCGAGGGTGGGTCCAGTTACACCCAGGAGATATTGCCAAAGGACAATCAACGTGAGCCACTTAACTATGAACAAAGGAACTTGGAGCATCATAACGAGAAACTCGATCGAAAGTTGAGGGGGAATTATCGCAATGAGGATAAATTTCGTCAGTATCCATTGACAAATAGCGAGAATGCACGAGTGGGCGGCGAAAATTCTCGGGATTTAGATGGCGGAAGGGGGGCGGGGGGAGGGGAGAGGGAGCTTTCAGCGGAGGGCAGGGGGGAGGATTTCCGGGACACGGCACCGAGGGGCTTCTCTTTCAATCGAGGAACTGGGAGGAATGCACATCAGAGCGGGAGTCAGATTCCCAGAGCTTTGGGCAGCTATTCGGATTTCCGGGAGGGAGAGGAGAGGAATTCCAGGGAGGGAGAGGTCAGATTCGTACCGGCTTTGTAAGGAGAGAGGAGTGGGTCAATTTTTTGATTTTTGAGATGTTGGGATTTAATTCTTGGGCGCTGAGAGAAACATTTACTTCACGGAGAGAAGTATTCAGTAAAAATTATGAAATTCACGTAATCCGCAATGGGGAATCGTTTCCGGAAATTTTTATGGGAATGGATGAGAAGGAATCTGGAACGTTCAGGGAATTTCAGGTTCATCACCGAACAAAGGACGAAATTGTCACGTAATTTTTCCCGATGAAGTAAAATTTTACAAAAATTGCCGACTTATTGTGCCTCCAAAATCAAAAATTCTTGAGCGTTCAACAATTTTTATGAAGCTGGTGAGTTATTTCTACGTTCCGTTCAGTTTCGGCTCACACTTTTTATTGAATTTTAATTCGCTCGCGGATTACTTTTCGAAACGTAATTTTTACTTTTTTTCTGGTAATTTTTATTCAATTTTTCTCGCCGTGCATGGGACCTTTCTCGGGCCACGTGAGTTGAGATATCTGGGAGAATTAAACGATTGAAGAAAAATTACTTGTCTCAAGAAAATATGTTTCAGATATTATAAATTTTTTTCCCTGTGTGAGAGATATTAAATTTCCTTCTATCAAGTTGATTAATTAGCCTCAATCGAATAGATAAATCTATTCTACTCCGTCAAATATTCGCAGGTAATTTTTTCCCTCAGTGTGTTGAACTCGATTAATTGTCGTTCCGTTGATGGTCAAAAATTTGGCATTCCCTAAAATTTTCAACTATTCTTCTCTACAGAATCCCAACATAATTTCATTCAATCGAAATCACCGAGTACTAAATCATTAAAATCCCTGGCATTCCAGGAATTCCCAAATTTCCAACGTTTTCCAATGCAATTACAATTCCGAATAACAAAGCGATGATTTCACAGTTATTTCATTGATAGCAAATAATTTAATTGGAATTTCTATCAACAACTCGCCGATTCGAGGAGTTTCCAGCCCCTCGATAAACGGATACCCATTTAAAAAGTCTCGAAGATAATGAATGTGGGAGAAATAGCTGGGAGATGATGTCTGAATGATTAATATACACTCACCTCGACGGATTAATCCAAGCTGCACCAGACGTGATGCGCCGGGATACCTGTCCTCACGGTGGTAGAGAGGATCATTAAAAGGGTATTACGAGAATTACCGAGTGAAAATTATTATTACGTGGGACAATAATGCTCGAGTGAACACAAGAGATTCAGATTCGTAAGTGATGTCAGGCTGTTTAAAACAGCTCTACCCTTCGGCCGGGCTACGCTGTACTTTTGGATATTTTCAGTTTTTCAATTTTTCAACTAAATTGCATGGAAAAAATTTGAAAAAATTCATACCCAGTCAGTATTGTCTAAATTAAATTTCTCCAAATATTGATATTTTTTCAAACATTTCCCTCTTACAAATAAATAATAAAACTTATTTGCAAAACGGTGGACTATTTTTTATGAGGTGTCAAAAAAAATCTTGATTTTTTCACATCTAATGAAAAAAAAATCAGATTTTAATCTTTGATTACAATGAAAATGTTGATTTTCACATAAGACACTGGATTAAATCTTGATTTTTAAACATTTCTTCTTTGAAAAACCAAAACGATAATTAAATTGAGAAAAAAATTAGAATTCCGAATCTAATCGAGTATTCTGCAATTTTTTTGCAGTTTTCAGTAATCTCTGAATTTACCGTAAGGGTAGAGCTACTTTAAAAATTCATCACTGAATAACAGATTAATAATAATTGAAGCCCTTTCCTCGCCAATTAATGACCATAAACCCCAAAAATCCCCAACAAATCGCTTAATTACTTCATTAATTTCCAAATCATCTGTTTGAAAGCAAATAATTCTAAACAGAGATTCATAAAATCATAAAATCCCGGTGAATATCCCTCCAACAACTCTCCCCTGAATAAAACGAAAGGATTGCACCTCACGAATAAATAAATTTCGTAAATAAACTCTTGAATGGAGTGGCTTTTTGTCTGGATGAATTACTCATCTTGAACTCCTTCTCGTCCTTTTATTCTGGCTTTCCGGTTATCTGGTGAAGCGGTCACTGCTAACCGAGCGCACCATGCTTTATCTGATTGGCAAATGTCTACTTGAGGCAATGCCTCTACCTCGCGAGCATCATTCATTCCGGTAGATTGCTACCTATACTTTTGTATAGACAATTCTTCTCAAAACACTTGGAATTTTTCTATTGTATTCCATTAGGAGAATTCGAAAAAAAATATCATACATCACCATCTCAATTACACATCACGACATGTAAATTTCATTTCAAAACATTTCCATGTACGTTTTATATCAATAAATAGTGTAATGCATTTTATTATTGTATACAGGGAGCACATTATTATTATTAGCATTATTATTATTTTATAAACAATGAAAATATAGAAAATTAATGTAAAACTTAGTAAAGAATAAAAAGATATTTTTCATTCAATTTACAAATTATTGTCCATTTCATATTACGAGAGAGACGAGACGAGACGAGACGAAATGAGACGAGACGAGACGAGATGAGATGAGACGAGACGAGATGAAACGAGACGAGACGAGACGAGACGAGACGAGATGAGACGAGACGAGAGAATCTTTCAATTCTCGACAGAAAAAAATAAGCCGTAGTTTCTCGTCTCGTCTCGCATGACTGATTCTGAACTGTTCAGAATCAGTGATGCGAACACTGAACTGTTCAAAAATTCAATTGAAGAAATTAACAAACAATTTTGTTTGCTTTCATCGGGGCAAAAATCGAATTAAAAACAACCGCTATTACTGAATGTATTTCACATTCTAGTCGTTGGAGTTCCTGAAAACTTAGTCAACTGAGCGATGAGGGGACCGATGATGGGAGATAACTCACATCTTGTGGATGAACGTTGAAATATTTATTATTTTATCTCGGGGTTTATAATCATCTTGATCCATCAGCCTCAGCTTTGTTCATAACCATCCAATTATCCGTTACAACACTTCTCGGAGCTGGATGAGACGAGGGGATAAGATCACGTATAATCTATAAATCAATTTTGAACTGCAGCCAGTGGTCTCTCTTGTCTCCTTGGATGCACTCAGTTTAATGCAAATAGTGTAATGCGTGGTGGAATGTTTATTCAGTTTTTATGGCATTTTTTATCTCTTGCGAAGGCAATCTCGAGGGTACAAGGTTAATTCGCAACACTAGTTGATAACATTTTTCGCTGGATATATCTCTATTTTCAAGGTTTACTTCCAGCTGTTTGCGCTGATAATTCTTGGAAAAATAGCGATAGTGCATTTGTAAAAGTACTCTGGGATGTTCCAACATTCATTCGCGCTCACAAGCGCATGTCAGGCGGGCGATGATTGAGTGTGGGGAGAATTAGCGAGAAATGCTAGTTTTGAGCAAATTTCCGGCAGCTGGAGACCGCTCTTTGGCGAAGGTCGCACTCTGGGATATGCGTGTCACAGGGAAATTGAAATGGCATTCGACTAATTTCGTCATTTTAAACGCGCGATTTAGGGACGTCGGGTTATACTTGTTTCAGCGGTCAAATGTTACGGATTTCAATGCTCATTTGAGGGCAATCGGTCATCACGTGAACTTGGAATGAGGAGGAATTGTCATCTTTATTCACTTTTTATTGACATTTTTTTTAGATTTGATTATTGGGTTTTTGGGCGATTCTATTGAATAATTCCGCAGCTTTTCTGGGCATTTTTTTTTGCATAAAAATGGTCAAAGGGTCACGAGGGTCAAGGGAAATATTCTATCCAATAAATCGGTAGAATTTAATTTTTCTAAATTCCTCAGCAAAATTTTTTTAATCTCATTTTTTCAACGAAAAGAAAAGAAAAGTCGAGCGTGGAAAACTCAGACAATTGATGCCAAAGAAATTCTCCAGAAAATGTCTCAATTAAATTTATTGAATCCAAAAAATAGAACTTCTAATAAAAATAAGAAAAATTCAAGTGAATGTATTCTAAAATTTTTAAATCATTGAAAATTATGAAAATTGAGGAACTTCAATGATGCAAAAAACATTGAAGTTCCTGGGCATCAGCAGCTTTCCTGGGCATTTTTTTATAGAAATAGTCAATGAAAAATATTCGGTCCAAAAAATTAGTAGAAATAAATTTTTCTAAATTCCTCAGCAAAATTTTCTGAATTTTTTTAATCTCATTTTTTCAACGAAGAGAAAAGAAAAGTCGAGCGTGAAAAACTCAGACAATTCATGCCAAAGAAATTCTCCAGAAAATGTCTCAATTAAACTTATTGAATCCAAAAAATAGAACTTCCAATAAAAATATAAAAAATTCAAGTGAATGCATTCTAAAATTTTTAAATCATGGAAAATTATGAAAATTGAGGAACTTGAGGAACTTCAATGATGCAAAAATCATTGAAATCCCTCACTGGGCATTTTTTTTCTATAGAAATAGTCAATGAAAAATATTCTATCCAAAAAATTAGTAGAATTAATTTTTCTAAATTCCTCAGCTAAATGTTCTAAATTTTTTTAATCTCATGTTTTCAACGAAAAGAAAGAAAAGTCGAGCGTGAAAAACTGAATTCATGCCAAAGAAATTCTACAGAAAATATCTCAATTAAATTTATTGAATCCAAAAAATAGAACTTCCAATAAAAATAAAAAAAATTCAAGTGAATGCATTCTAAAATTTTTAAATCATGGAAAATTATGAAAATTGAGGAACTTGAGGAACTTCAATGCTGCAAAAATCATTCAAATCCCTCACTGGGCATTTTTTCCTATAGAAACGTTCAATGAAAAATATTCTGTCCAAAAAATTAGTAGAATTTAATTTTTCTAAATTCCTCAGCTAAATTTTCTAAATTTTTTTAATCTCATGTTTTCAACGAAAACAAAGAAAAGTCGAGCGTGAAAAACTCAGACAATTCATGGCAAAGAAATTCACCAGAAAATATCTCAATTAAATTTATTGAATCCAAAAAATAGAACTTGCAATGAAAAAAAAACGAAAGAAAAAAAATTCCACAAATTTCAAATCCCTAAAAATTATAAAAATTCTGAAACTTGAGGAACATGAATGCTGCAAAAATCATAGCCCTCAAACCAGAGACGTAAGTCGCATCACGAAGCCGTCGATCATCCTGCTCGAAATCATAAAATCCGGATATCATCGAATTCCCGGGATCAATCGCATCATAATGAAGATTCGCCGATAAGATACCGTAAATACTATTTGACGACTGAATCCCCAGGTTTTTCCTCGTGATCATAGAAAGTCATGACACCGGTCAACGACCCATGATGACTGTATAAAAAAAGCCCATCGGGTGACAGCAATTATCTCGTTCGAAATATTTTCGAGTTTCGTTTTTTGATACGCGCCAAGACGATTGGCGTTTCATCTTCGGAACGGCATACACAGAATAGTCCACTTGTCCTTGAAGATCGCTTCCTACACGTGTCCCCCCTACCTCGACGGGATAATAACCGACAATTACGTACGTTCGAACCTATTCGCCGAACTCTGTACACCAGGAAGACGGAAAACCACGACTAGATCGTCATTGTCGCTAGTACTTCCACGGGTCCTCACTCACTCGAGTGCACTCCCACCCCCCTCAAATTACCCAGCATAATAACGGAATAGTATAGTTTTATCAGAATAGTTGGTCGCCAGCCTAGGTCTAGTGCACTGCGGAAAATGGAGCGGCGAAGTGTGTCAGGTATCCCAGACAAAAATACAAACTTGAACATCCAACCATCAAACTCATATGCATTCATACGTTTCACTGTTTTCGCGTGCGACCAAGTGTTCCAAACACTGGAGATTTTTTTTACTGGGACTGGAGAAATTAGCGTCTCAATTCGAGACGTTAAGTCACGCATCCTGGACATTGCAGACGTCTTCCTCGAAGATCTTTCGTACGGAACGCATGATGTCTCATTCGTTTAGCCAAATACTTCATTCATTTTGCCTCAATGAGACAATTATTTTTCCACTGATACACTGTTAGAGAATTACCCTTGAAATTTCACGTGAAATCGCCCAAAAACTAATAGAACAGTTCAATAGAAATTCAATAGAATTTTCTAACGAATCCGATAGGTTTTTCTATGAAATTTTTTGTCCGTGTAGTTCCTTGAATATTTAAGTAATTCTCAATCTTGAGGTCCATGGGGCCCTGAAAAATCTTGAAAATTTTGAAAATACAGACAGAAACTTTTCTGAATTTTCTGAATGAACAAGAAATTTAGTGAACGTTTTTATTTGAAATTGAATTCAACCGCACAACATTAAAAATTCAGATGACGCTGCGACTGAAATTTCCAGAAATTTCTAACAGTGTAATTTTAGTTACGTTAAAATTAATTTCATTTCAGTTTTAAGATTTTCTAAAACTGAGGCCATGACTGGGGAAAAGCGGTAAAAAGGGTTAAAGTATCGGTCATGAAGCAAAATTTGAAGGGAGTTGAAGAAATAAGAGCTCTAGAATTTTCGTGATCATAAATACCGATGAAGAGTATTTTTTCTCAGAATAACATTCAAGCTTTTGCGCCCTTCTGATCTTGCAAAGAGACTATCTTTGAATTAATTTGACATCAATCACCCCTTCGACCCTCTCAATAAATCCATAACTTGAATAAATACTAAGAAAATGGATAACCCACCAAACACGTCTCCACTGAGAGAAAAATATGATTCTTCTGACTATATTCCATCACCATCGAATTATAGTCAAAAAGTCCTCAACAATTTCGCATGGGCTACGGTAACTATGGCCGGAGAAGTGATGACTACAATGGAATGTAGTCATTGCAACTATTTCATAGTTCTACTCACGATAGATTTGTCGTGATTACTTTTGAACTTTCGTTCGTTTAACTGCATTTTGATTTGCAAAAATTACGCGTGTGAAGTTACTATAATGTTATGTGCCGCATAAAAAAAATCGTGTCGTTCACCAAAACTGCCTCAACTATTTTCGTATTGTAAATCGAACTTCAGATTTTTCTCTCAGTGTTAGAACTCCATATCTTAATGAGGTCAATGGCTTGCAGTACTGCTTTCATAAATGACTAGTGTTTTAAGGTGAGGTAGGAAAAAGGTGTCATAATTGAAGTGCCTCGCCTTACGAAAATGTCCCTGCAGTGGCATTATATTCAAATTTTAAGTACCAATCGTTCATCTTCATTCAATTTCCGAATTCCATCCTCACTCCAAGATGCAATAATCTTAACAAAAGGAGATGTCACACGTTTATTCCTGAATGTCTAAACGAGAAATCGCATGCATGATGATGATACTGATTTGGTTGATGATGTTGATGATATTGATGTTGGTAATGCTGCTGTAGATCTACAGAGAGATGTTTTCAATCACGGACAATTATATGTAGCTTTTTCGAGAGTTCGATCACGAGATCCATTGAAATTTTTCACAAGACAACACCGAAAAAACGCAAAAGTCAAAAATTATGTCCACAAAGAGTTATATCTTTGAGTAAATGGTATATATATTTATGTCTGTACAAAAGGAACCGACTTGATTGTATTTAGTATCCGAGATATTCACGGTTTTCCATCGATAACGCCCGTACAATTAACATTGAATTATTTTCTGATCTTCGATACCAACATCATTTCCGACAGAACACGTGTTGATCCTCAATTGAAGTTTTCCTGGATTTCGACGTATCTCCGACTGATTCTCGATGGAAATTTCCATCCCTTTTCAATACCAAAAAATTCATGGATTTTCAAAAGAAGTTTTCATCATTTCCCACGAATTTCTCCTTAATATTACTACAGAACTTTGTATACGTGAAATAACATGTTGATTCAAATCAACTTACAATAGTAACGTGATGGATCATATAAAATCAATCATGGTGGTAGTGAAATTCGAGATGTTACCTATTCATTTCTGCATGCGGGAGTGAAGTACTTCATGCAATTCCCCAAATATTGATAGCAGTGAACCCAAATGTTAATGAAAATCGTTATCCAATAATTTTCCCGCTGTTATCACCCCCAAACGCGTCATCAAGGCGAGATGTCATCCAGAACTGTGTCATTACCACTGACGATTTGCCATTGCAATCGTGAATCTAACGAGTACAGTGTGTTGACGCGTGGGCAATAATGACGCATTCGCGTCTAACACCGAGTTTATTCACTCCAACTGCTGTGCGAGACATTCATTTCCGCGTGCAAGGTCTCCCACACACATGTCCACTAGTAGGTGTGTCACTGGGTATTCGGGCCATTGCCAATGCAAGCTGCGCTGTTACTCCTGTTTAGTTGTTCACAATCTCGAGGTTCGGCGCTAAGTGCCATCACCATGAATTTGATTCATCAATCATCGTCAAGACTGCGACATTGCGACCAATCATTTTGATTAGGCTGAATGATCCGGTATCGAAGCGCTCGTCGCTCCTAGTAACGCGCCTGTTCCCAAATTCCAGATCTTCGAGAGCACTTCCAGAAAATCCTGCGAATCGCCGAGGAGGATCCGAAATTGTTGATAGATCATGCCGAGGAGACTGAAGGCACCAAACTCGGCGACAACTACATGTCGGTGGTCCTGAAGACGAGGGTAACCGGGAGAAGAGGAAGTGGTGAAAGTTAGTAGCGAAAACTGCGCGCACACGGAGAGAAAAATTCAGTAAAAATTACCAGAACAAAACGTGAAAATTACGTCTCGAAATGTAATCCGCGGGCCAAGTAAAATTCAATAAAAAGTGTCGGAACTGAAATTGTACGAATCGCCACGTAAATTCTACGATTTGTTCCGTAAAAATTAACCACTCGTCTGACGACTCACCGCTGTGGGGACAAGTCATTCCGTAATTTTTCCCCAACGATTGAGAAATTTTACGGAACGGAACGTAGAAATAACTCACCAGCTTCATAAAAATTGTTGAACGTTCATGAAAATTCTGAACGTTTCAGATTTCTGATAGAAATTCACTGAACGTTTCAGATTTCTTCTCTTCCACTCCTATAAAAATTACCGGAAAACGATTCCCCATTGCGGATTACGAGAATTGTTCCGTAATTTTTACTGAATATTTCCGTGAATTCGATAGAAAATTCTATTAATTTGTACCCGATTGTATCCCGCAATTTTTTTATATACATTTCCAATAGAAACTATTTAACAGACTATTAGCTTCAACGGAAAAAATTTTTTGTTAGAGAATAGAACAAGTTGTATAAAAAAATCAAATTTTGCGGAATTGTTCAATAGAATCGGCCAAAAGTTGATGAAAAAGTCAGTCGAAATCCACCAGAATTTTCTAGAATTCAGTTTTCATTTGAATAATTCCATGAGAATTGATAGAAATCCGGAAAACGTTGTTGCAGTTTCAATAATTAAAAATTCAACCTAAATTTATACCAAGTATTCATATTTTGAATGAAAAGTCACGTTATCTGGGACTCCACGTCCTCCTGGTGCCAAAAACTGTGATTTCACCGAATTTTCACTAAAATCCGGAATTTCACGATTTTCCACGAAATATAAATTATTTTCTAACAGTGATGTTCGCTTCAGCTTACAGCGGATCCTTCATGACGAAATATTATCCGCGTCATCGGGCTACAGTGCAAGTCATAAGAAATGCGGACCTGTTCGTCAATGAAGCTCACATGTACAACCGCGTGCTGCCGCACCTCCCGGACATCGCACCCAGGTGTGTATTCGCTGATCAGGAGGAGATCGTTATGGCCGATCTGAAGGACGAGGGGTACGTGGTAATGCCCCGGCTGAAGCTGTTGGATCTTGAGCATTGTAAAGCGGTCGTACAGGTATCCAATTTAATTTGTTCATTCAATATTTTTCCACACTCCCACGTATTTTTTTTCTGCTAATTTTTATTGAATTTTCCTCTCCGCGTAGAAAAACTGTGCATGAACCAGCCTAATAAATTTTTTCGCCGACTTCCCTAGATTTTCCCGTGAAATATTTTCACCCAAAAATTGAATGCTTGCAGAAACTAGCTAAACTTCACGGCCGATCATACGCCTTGAAGCGGAGAGACCCGCAGAAATTCCAGGAGTTGCTGTCCCCTACGAAAGAAGCAGTATTCCCCCCGGACGATGGCCCCTGCTTGGGATCGTCCCTGGACATAAGCATTAACACGGGCATAGCCCACTTGAAATTCCTGGACGACTCAAGCGAAGAGCTCCGCACAGCGATCGACTTCATCGAGCGTCTGATAGGGAAGTCCTTCGACATAATGAGGGACCAGGTGCTCTCAGGCCGTGGAAAATACGACGTGTTGAGTCACGGAGACGCCTGGAACAACAACATCCTCTTCAAGCACGAGGATGACGATCACGTGGTCGATGTCAAGCTGATTGACTTTCAGATTCCGCGCCACGCCTCGGCAGCAATTGACTTCCACTACTTCATGTACTCCAGCGCGAAATCCGTTGTCATCGAGGAGAACTACGAGGAGGTGATTAAATCGTATCACTCGGCGCTGGTTGACAGCCTGAGACAATCGAGTGTTCCCGAGGGAGATGTGAGGGAAATGTCACTCGATTGGTTCCAGGGAGAACTCCAGAAGCACCACCTGTACGGACTCATCACGAGTTTTTGGCTCGTCCATGCTGTACTCGCTGAGGAGAACGAGACAATCAACATGGATGACTTCAGCGCAGATTTTATTGCGGAGGTCGAGAAGATCGAACCGGTTATCACCAGGAAGAAAGCCGAGAGGATCAGGTGCATCGTCCTGCATTGGCTCAGAAGATATCGATCGAGAGATTCCGAAGTGGCGAGACTCAATAAACAGACGAAAAAAATCTGAAATCAGAAGCTTTTTTTTGGAAGTTGGAGCACTTTTCTTCATTCAGATGCAATTTTTTCTTGTTTGAGAACACGATGCCATTCGATGAGAATGGGAATTCCACTGCTGATTTAAAAAATAACGAAGATATCATTTTAAAATTGTCCTCCAACTTCTAGAAATGTCGCTTTCAATTCCAGATTTTTTTTCTCTGCAATGCACCCGTCTGTTCTGTGATTCGTTAGAATAAAAAAAGAATAAAAAAATCTAAAATTATTACAGAATTATCGAGGCTCGTGTTATTTGTTGTCCCGTTTCTCCTGGAGATTTCCTGGAGATTGGCTCAGAAGATATCGATCGAGAGATTCCGAAGTGGCGAGACTCAATAAACAGACGAAAAAAATCTGAAATCAGGAGCTTTTTTTTGGAAGTTGGAGCACTTTTCTTCTTTCAGATGCAATTTTTTCTTGTTTGAGAACACGATGCCATTCGATGAGAATGGGAATTCCACTGCTGATTTAAAAAATAACGAAGATATCATTTTAAAATTGTCCTCCAACTTCTAGAAATGTCGCTTTCAATTCCAGATTTTTTTTCTCTGCAATGCACCCGTCTGTTCTGTGATTCGTTAGAATAAAAAAAGAATAAAAAAATCTAAAATTATTACAGAATTATCGAGGCTCGTGTTATTTGTTGTCCCGTTTCTCCTGGAGATTTCCCAACTGACGTATTACACATCAGTCCCAAACAAATGACTCCCATTGGAATCCCCGACGTAGGATCTCGCTGCAATGAAAAACATCTTGAAACGCAGCCCACAAACGTGACACTATTTTATCACGATCCTCATGCCGACGATTCTGGCGCGAAATAAACGACATTCAGCACTTTATACCGACTGATTTCTTTATAATGTGCTGACATGGCGGGCGATCCCATCCGCCTATTAGTGATCACAGCTCTGTGCATTGATGAATCCTCTTCTTGGCTTGAAAAATTCCAGACACTGATCACCATCCGCGCACCAGGTATCGGCACAAATATTATTGTCACCAATATTTACACCGAAAATACATATTTTTTACTTAATAGCTAATAACGTGCAAGTATTTACCATTATATTATGTATGAGTATTGCGAAATTCACATTTTTCAAATACCAATCAATATCAATGAGTAATAATTAACAATAAAAACTATCTTATCAGGAGTTACACTTGAATATTTTAGAGGAGTCATTCAATCAATAATCAAATGGAAAATATCTCTCGATGTTCATCTCATTAATAATGAAATCTATCTCATTAATTGAATATTTTTAGGGGAGAGCTGAAATGAGATAGCAAGTTAAAATGGACAATGAACAAAAATTAGCAGTTAGGTAGTTAGTTTATATAGTGTTTCACATCTTGTGACGTTAAAGGATATTATTGGATACGATTTGAAAAATCGAGTTGGTTTCATTATTCATGACGAAAGAAATTGGGATTTTCTGGGTTTCACTTTCCATTGATATAATAATGAAAATAAATTTTGTACCACTATTGATTGAAAAATTATTTGTTTCTTTTTTCACTTTCATTTTTCATTAGTATCGCAATGAAAACAACATTTAGTATTATTATTCATTACGAAAAAAATCATAATTCAATTTTTTTAATTAACCTTGGTATGGTAATGAAATATTAATAATGGAAATTATTTTCCTGCCAATCTCTGCCGTGCACTGAGAGAAAAAATTTGCTCCATAATTTGCAGAATTTTACTTTCCCCGTTTCTTTTTTTTCACTATTGAAGATTGTTTAGCTTACTAATATTATAATATAAAAAGAGTGATGAAGACTCTCAAAAAAATCCTCTCCTCTCTTTTTCTGGAGATAAACAACGACTCTGTGGGTGATCCCACGCGCACATCTCGTTACGCAGCTTCTGTGAACGCAGTTATTAATAGAGTTTTCAGGAAAAAGAGAAGGCAAAGTCTACCCACTTTGTATCTCCCCATTAAAATAATAAAAAGGGGGCATAACTGGTTTAATTGAGATAATTGATTAGTCCAGCCCCTCGGCCTCGCGAGTAACCAGCGCATCTCCCCCACAAAAACACGGAAATATTCGGTAAAAATTACGGAACAATTCACGTAATCTGCAATGGGGAATCGTTTTCCGGCAATTTTTATAGGAATGGAAGAGAAGAAATCTGAAACGTTCAGTGAATTTTCAGGTTCATCACCGAACAAAGTACGAAATTGTCACGTAATTTTTCCCGAAGAAGTCAAATCTTACTGGTGAGTCATTTCTACGTTCCGTTCCGTAAAATTTCTCAATCGTCGGGGAAAAATTACGGAACGACTTGTTGTCCCCACAGCGGAGAGTCATCAGACGGGTGAATTTACGTAGCGATTTGTACAATTTCAGTTTCGACTCAAACTTTTTATTGAATTTTACTTCGCTCGCGGATTACGTTTCGAGAAGTAATTTCCACGTTTTTTTCCGGTAATATTTATTGAATTTTTCTCTCCGTGCCCCTATTTTACGTAATTCAAGATTAGCAAATGGTAATCTTGGTCTAGAATCGTGAACCACATGTATACGAGTTGGAGAAATTTTGTCTCTCGAGATTGTTCTCAAAGTTAAGCTTTTCCATGGCATCGGTGAAAGCGAGTGGATGTTATTCCAGGCGCTAGTTTTATGCCTCCAGTGACACACTCGTAAATACTGAGGATGATGCGAGCCACCCGACTCACGTAATCCGCCCTCCGACGTGTTTTTATTGAATAATTCAGAGACGAGATTATGGGGGAAAAATCATATGTGAAAATTTATTCCAATTAACGGCGGGCTTTGCAATTTGTTTTACGTAATGGCAACGTATCTGCTGGGTCATTATGAAATTGTTGGTATTGGGATGATATTCCGGTCGTATCTCCTCCGCGCAATCGGTATTTGGATTGAACGGAGACTCACGCCGGATTCGTTAGAAAATTCTATTGAATTTCTACTAAACTTTCTATTAGTGTTTGGCTGATTCTATTGACATGTTCAATAGAAAACATTCAATAGAAAAAGTCAACAAAATTCGATTTTTCTATATAACTTATTCTTTTCATATATTTTCTATAGAATTTGCTCGACTCAAATTTTCCAATTTTTTTTCATTCTATTTTTCTTTTCTTATCAAATGAAAAAACTTGGAAAATTTGGGCCGAGGAAATTCTATAGAAAAGATCTCAATAGAATAAGTTATATAGAAAAATTGACTTCTATTGACGTTTTCTACTGAATCTGTTCTATTGAACATTTCAATAGAATCGGCCAAAAACTAATAGAACAGTTCAATAGAAATTCAGTAGAGTTTTCTAACGAATTCGATAGGTTTTTCTATTAAATTTTTTCGTCCGCGATCACCTCCCTGGGAACAGGATAACGCTTGATTACACGTTCCAGGTGATTTTATTCATTCATCAAACTCATCGCATCGCAGCATCCACAGCACGAAACTTTTACATCCAGATTCAGGAGGATCATTACCATCGGTTTCGCGATGTAAATTGTTATGTGATAAATAACACGGCTACGAGAGTCTAATACTATTATTTCTTATGGTCATTAAAACTCCAACACCCACGGATGGGGGGGAATGAATTACCGAGCGTGATTTATGGGTCGGGGAGGAATTTTTGTGGATAAAACTCGTTGATGAATTCTGCAGCTATTTCTTGGATTTTATTAACAGGGCTTTTCTTCAGTCGCACTGGGAGAAAAAATTTGTTCCGCTAACAAATTATATGCTCCTCTGAAGAGACCTTCCGTCGTGTTGAATCAATTTGCTTGTGGACAAAGAGAAAAGTTTAATTTAATATTCGTGAAAGATAGTAAATTTTCTTCTATCAAATTCAGTGATCTCAAGCAAATGTCTTCCACTCCGTCATATTCTCATGGGGAACACAACATTTTCGCCGAAATGACGTATGATTTCGTTAATACATAGTAACAAAAAAAGTAATGGATAATTAATAATGGATAATTAAAATCGTCAATATTTTTTTCATTAATTACAAAAACAGGTGAAAAATTGCTGGTTTCATGGAACATAACTATTTTGCTAATAAATGCGCTCCGAATTGTCATTTCGGACTACCGTTCTATAAAAGTGTATCATGAGTCATTGTTTCCTCATTTCTACCCCGAAGTCTAGCGAAGTGGTCAAACGGTTCAAGTCGATTTTGACTACTCAAGAGTTTTCAATGAATATCTCGCAATCTAAGGCGGATAGCAAAATTGTTGTAATGACCTTTTCGGTAGAGCACGTTAAGGGCTTCAAAAAAGATAGATATGAAAATTTCGCTATCTCCCATAGATTTTGAGATATTCTTCGAAAACTCAGCAGAGAGCTAAGTCGATTGCATTCGAAGTCCATTGAATTACATTTTTTTATTAATTATCAATCTAATTATGAACCGTGAACAATGAAGATTATTCACTTGGCGCTTTCTGCGCGAGGCGCATTAGTTATTCAATCCTCGTGCATTAGATCTCCATTAAAATCCCATTCTTCCTCATATTCAGATTCACACCGGGTCAGCCCAGTACTTCCACCCCTGCTGCAGTGAGATACAGAGTCCTGACATTAATGTATGAGCGACGTCTTCGGTCCGGCTTTTATCTGCGTGAGAGCACGAACCCACTCGACCCATATGTGCATCCCACCCCGCACGCTTTCCACGGGTGCAAGAGGGTAAATGAGTAAGTTAACCCTAGACTGGTCACCATGCGAGGGAATTGCCGCAACACTTCGTTTTATTCACTTTGCCATCGACTGGTTGAGCGGAAAAATTTGAGAAAAATTAAATTCGTCAATTGAAGTACACTGGACTCTGGTTAGAGTCGACTGTTTTGCGGGATAGGGGAAGCGAATTCGGAGAATGCGACTCTATTTCCCTGCCCCCACTACGCGCTCACGCCGAGCCCGACTTCCGAGAACTGGGAACGATAAAATGAAAAATACTATTTCTTTTCTCTCTCAATTCAACACTTTATTTTAATGATAAACTTTAGTTCACAGTTTCAACTATAATAGCAATATTCATATAGATTCAGACGATTTTTTTATTATCAATATTTTTAATTTCATTGACTATATTTGATCACAGAAGCTTTGTACCTAACATTCCATAGAACAGATATTTCTTCTGGAGTTAACGAACCATGTGCATCAAAAATGTTACAGTCGTTTTCTTTACCTCCCTTCATTATTTGATTTAATCCAATTTCGAATTAATTTTATGCCAACAAAACGAGATCCTCCCCCCATAACAGCCAGAAGTGGACTAAATTTTTTGATCGACAATTCAAATGCAGAATATTTTATTTTTTGTCTTTACTGGAATCGGAAGACAATAGCAATTTGAAGAAAATATTGGAGTGTTTACTCTCCGGCTTGCGTGGGGACAGAGTGGGGGAAGCGCTCGAGCGGCGAGACAAAAAAATTGAGGGGAAGTTCGACACTAACCAATATGCCTCTAACCAGAGTCCACTGTAAATGAGTAAATTAACCCTAGACTGGTCACCATGCGAGGAAATTGCCGCAACACTTCGTTTTATTCACTTTGTCATCGACTGGTTGAGCGGAAAAATTTGAGAAAAATTAAATTCGTCAATTGAAGTATCTGGAA